CTGATTTTCAGATCTTATTGCAATATAAAGGTACTGTACTAAGTTTTGTTAAAATCCATTGATATATGTTCAAGTTATTTTTTGTTCACAAAGAAAGGCGTGTGCAAACGCAGTTAAGCACACAGGCAGCTGCCACTTTTCCATCCCTTTCTGGTGGAGCAATGGGAGATGAAAACAACTTAAAACAGCATCTACAAAGATCTTTACACAGGTATGTTGACCTTCCACAGTACAGTAAACCTGACCTTGCTCTGATTATCACCAAAATTCGATAAATTCTCCCAATGCGCAAACTTATACATGCGCTAAATAAAAGCTGGAATATTTCCATTGTCTTTTGAGATACCTGTACCATTCATATATATATATATACCAGTACCTTACATACACACCCATCCATCCATAAATACATATTTACATCCATTATACATATATACATAAAGTATACATCCATACTTACATGCATACAATCATTCATACATAAATACAATACAGAGTACAAAACAGTTGTATGAACATCATACAGTACTTTGGTATTCCTACTTAAAATCTTCCACAATTTGTAAATACAGTACAGTATAACACCTGTATAATTACAAGCCAAATTTTCCTCAGTAACCCCAAGACTGTTGGTTATTATGGAATATAGTAATGCAGTATATTAATAGGATAACATATAAGTACAGTAATTCATAACATCAGTCATTTCCCCAAAACTACTAATGGCACAGTTGACATAATTAGGGTCATTCTCTTCTGGCACCATCGTACATAGACTGAAAACAATCACATCAGATTCTATAATAACCGTACTGTACAGGGTGTGTTGTAACTTTGGGGGGGGGGGGTCAGATGAGGGAATCAAGAACAAATCAATAAAGATGGCAGAGAAATTAGCACTAGAGGAAAGAGCCAGTTTAATATTCACATACAGAAAGCCAAGCATAGAGGTATTGCCAATTAAATATCTCTGTTTGGAATATTGTTTTCTGTATATGAATATTTAAAGTGATTTTTTCCTCTATTGTTAATTTCTCTGCCATCTTCATATATTTGTGATTCTCTCAACTGAAAAAAAAATTCTTACGGTGAGTGACCAATGACACCTTGTATATTGTCTGAAAAGTATACTGTATACAGTACGTATGTCAAACCCATCTATATTTTTCAGAACTAAAATATTATTAAAATCAGTCTCTTCTGTTAACTAAATCACACCCCTTTCCCACTATGTAAATTTGTTTAAAGAATTTTATTAAGATTATGAATTTCAAATGTGTTTTGTATTTTTATTTGTTATTTTTGCTCCAAATGTGAAACTTAAAAGACATATGTACAGGAAACAGACAGACTAGCTGAATCCCATTCTACACCCTCAAAACTTTATGAAGTAGGGAATAACAGCTATATTTAAACCAAAAAATTATTTGTAATCTGTAAATTAATAATCCATAAAATCATAGAAATTTCAGTCTCTTGTGTGTGTATTAGCAATCATCAGGGAACATTTACCTTCTCTAACAAGGGTGATCAAGACTACAGTAGGTCATGAGCTATGTTAGTACAGCCTGATCCAAGAGTTCTCACAGACTGGTATTCCCAAAAGTGGCTGACACAGCTAAAAAGGAAATACTTGGCTCAGAGCAGTTCCAATAAAATGCTTCCACTAACTCATTAATGAAGACTCAGGAAACTTAATGTTAGTAGCTTGAATAAGTCTGAATTATTCATAAACATCCCCAAAAATCTATTATTTCATGGACAGAAGGTTGAAGTTTGAACAAACACTTGACATCACATAAGCCAGTGTACACCCTACTCTTTTCTCAGTGGGTTTCCGAGCCAGCTAGTTCTGGACTCTGCCATAAAATGGGACTTCATCATTAATCCTCCAGCCACTAATGTTTGGTCTACTGGGTGTAGAGCAATGGCTTGGTGAGCATATTATACTGTACTAAAGCTGCCCAATGAAGGGTGGCTGGCCACAGAGGCTCATGTTGTGCAGAAAGCATTTGAAAACTTTTAAACTAAAACGGTGTCCTATTCAATACATCTTTATCATTCTGGGATTGGAAGACATAATGTGATAAATGTACAAGAAGTGAAAATGTCCAAAATCTAAATTTACAGGTCAGAATTGGGATGTTCAGTTCATCGGCAGATAACCCTACATGTTAACTGAGTGACATGTTCCATCTGTCACTGCTTCATCATCACTATTTTATGGTCATTTTCCACACTTGCATAGGTTAACCATGATTATCTAATGGCATGTTGTCGCAGTTGCTATCAAGCAAATTTGAAGCAAGTTTTAAGATTGGATAGACTAAAACAATATAATCAGAAAATATCCAGAGTAAAACATAAAACACACATGCACACACACATAAAAAAAAGAATTTCATGGTTGATATTACAGTATTTACAACACAATCAGTTTTTTAAATCTCCCCAACAATTCAGCAAGTCATTTATGTTTCTGACACTAATTGTTGTCAGGCGTGTGTTAGTGCAGATTTACACCTTCAATTAACTCTGTCACACACATCTGATTCAAACGACTAAACCCAATCATTTACTTGAAAAATTTTTCCTTAACAGCTTCAAGTGTTACATAATACAGTACTGTAATGTACAGTACCTAAATTACAACATGGTAAACTGTGATTGAAAGATAGTGTTATACATATCCCAATAAATTATGTGTTTTATTGTGTAAAATCAAACCAAAAATTATTCAGGAGACAATTTGTGCATTCACTCTGACTTGGATTGTATTCTCTGGCTCCATTTGGTATCAATGCCGACTTCTTCTGGGGTTTCTCCCATCCACATTTCAGTATCGTAACTTGGCAGCTACACTAAAGAGCACAAGTTCAAGATTCCATTTTTATCATATGGTATACAGTACTGTATAAGCATATAGTAAATGTAAATAAGACATCTATCTTATCAAAATTTATGAATTAGTTTTGATTTGGTTAGATTCTAAACAGTCACAAAACCAAGAAATGTTGTGTCAAGATGCAACTCTGATAGATAGTTAATGGCCTTATACCTGTATTAAGTACAATTCTGTTAAGTATGGAACCCCAAATGCAAAGTAGAAATCTGCTACCTATGAGGAACACTTTACATTCTGATCATCAAACCAAACCCTGAAAACAACACTGTACTCAGTCTACATCTACATCCAGACCCACAGCCTTCATTCTAGCTTGTGGCTTAAAAGTTAAAAACCTGCAAAGCTGGTTCTTTATCACAATTACATGGCAAGACATTCATTATAACTTGATTATCTGGAGTGCAAGTAATACTGTGTAGCTGACATCTACCGTAGTGCAGGGAGAAGACACACTAAGTCACTAAGCATACCAGAAACACCATTGAAGACAAAAAGATGGATGGCATATGAGAGAGTTGCACAGTGAGGGACTGATGAAGAACACAAGAGCAACGGAGAAGATTGCCTGCAGTTCTGTACAATACAATCCACAGTATATATGTGATGGAAATACTATTGTAATAACTAAATTTTATCCACACTCCAGAAAAAAATAACTGCATTTAGTTAAAACTCGCAGAAAATATTGCAAACTGTATTCATCATTAACTGGTTCTTATCTTCATGCCCTCCTTCCCTCCTAGCCACTTCCTATTAGAAATGGGAGTGTGGGTCTATTTTAAGGTCAGTCCAAATACTGTACAGTACTGAAAAAACCTACACCACTTGCAGGAGCACAATACATCTGCAACCAACCAAAAGATAAGATAAAATATCAAGGAGGCAATTGAACTTTTTTGAGCGAAGGAGAGCCTAATTTAGTTAAGTTTATTGAGATAAGAATGAGGAGTTCATGTCACAAATGAAATGAAGAAAGCTCTTAACTTGGTCCAAATAAATCAATCAGTGCAGAGATACTACTATACTGTACTAGCCTCAGTAGTAATCTCAACTACACATGATATGTGTGTGTCAAGTATTTCCTCTAGCAGAGTTAAAAAATGGAGAGAAGACTGCATTAACCCCAGCAACATACAGTACAGTATGCGGAAACAAATATGGTTACCATCTGACCTGTAATTTGATAGTTACAGTACTGTACTAAAGTTTTGTATCCGGACACTACAATAAATTTGGACATTTTCACCGTGGTACTTAAGAGTACAGTACATACATAAAATTATGTTTCTACTTATCCATTTACCCCTTTGGTATGAGAGGTCTCTGTGCTGAATAAAATCATCTGACGTTAACCAAATAAAATATTAAGGTTAATATTTTATTTGTCTGCACCAGGATTATGATATGAGAATAGGTTTTTCTGGTGTACTGTACAGTATTTAGGTGTGCTTCATGTAAATCTTGACCTTCATCTCTTGTGCAAATGTAATTTTTTTTTTTAATAAATTTTAAGATAATGGACACCTACCCCGGTAAATACACCAGAAAAACCTATTCTCATTGTGACAAGCATCAAATTACACCCCAAAAAAACGTACCTAACCAGGTAGTGGCAAGATTGACAACTAGAGTTGGCCAGTACAAATTGAAAATGGTGGCAAACCACCTCTGTACTTTTTTGTATTTTGAAATGGGCATATTTGTCATAAGCATCCCACTGTTTTGTGCAGGTGAAAATTTTCCTTGGTTTGAAATATTACAGTTAATGGAATATATCCCATTTAGCATTTATATGCAAAAAAAAAAAATATTCAGTTTTAATTTTTTTGAAGAAATCCCTCTACAGCCATAAATTAAATATTAACAAATATTAAGTGATGTCCAGTAGTGAAGGTGTTAAGTATACTGTACTGTATTTGTTTTAAATTTTTTTTGGCTTACTTCTGGCAATTACTCCTTTATAACACTGTACCATAAAAACAGATTAGTCACTACCAAAGACACTGCAACCTTCCATTAAACTGTGCATGATAATGTATCTAAATTACATTTAACTTCCACTTTATTTTATTACAACACACCTCGGATGCCCCCCAATGATTATGTTTCTTCACTGCTGAATACAAACTTTTTTTTATTAAGAAAGGAATCCAAATTAGAGTGGAAAAAATTACCCCTAAAATCTTTTAAAATGAATGAAAGTGCCACAGCCCCAGGAATTAAAATTTTATAAATTAATTTGTATTTTTGTATTTCAAAGTCAGTAAAGGCCCAGTTTGTCATGAGAAAACAGTGCCAGGCTGATGAAGCTTAATCTTTGTGTAGTCCGTACTGGCAGAGCACAGGAATAATTCTTGCTCACCTTTAATTTAAAGTTTTGTGGCCTTTTATAAAATAATGGAAGGGTTCATTAATAACAGATTTATAAGCCTGACATTGCTGGTTGATACTGTCAATGATTAGTTATGAAGAACATCATTTATTATAATTTTGTGAAACTGAAGTAAACCTAATCAAGCACACAGTAGATGATAACAACTGTCATAAAAATCCAAAGAGCACTTACTGAGCATAAATTATGAACACATTCATCCAAGATTCTTACATTGTGAGACCTACCATGGTGTTAGAAAAACCACCTCAAACACAAGTACATATACCACACCCAATTCTCATAGAACCAAATACTGTACAGTACCAGAACTTCATATACAAGAACGACCAAATCACAACACATGAGGGACCAATTCTGATAAGGACAAGTTACATGAATGTATGTTGTAGTAATATGAATGGTATGAATGATCTCTTCAAAATAAAAATAAAATAAGATCATATTAGGACTTTGTATAAAATCGAGCACCAAATATGAATAGATACTTCATTCACAGAAACTGACCACCACACACTGAAGCTACTGCAGATAGTTTTATCTACTGTCCCAGCCCCCCACCTCTGAGAGAGAGATATGGGTACCAATGTAACTTTTAAAGAGTGCATGTAGCTGAATATTTCACCTGACAGTGTACCATACAACATTTCAATTATTGTTGGACAGATAACTATTCAACAAAATAGTAAAATTAGCTCAGCGGACACAGCATGAGATTTTGCTATGTTAGATCACTAACAACTCATCCTAATTCAACTTCATGTAAAAAACACTGTTCTTAGCTTTAATACACACTGCCAGTTGGTAACACACGGGATTACTTGATCAAAGGCTGTTGACTCCACTCACTCCAGATGATGCTCAGGGGAACCTTAACCTTCCAGTGGGCTTTCGAAGCAAATTGCATCGCTAAGCACTGTGCTGGTGCAACCCCTCCCACGCAGCTGTATTTCACACTGAGAGCACCCTTCCTGTAAGCATTAACTTGGGAACAGTGTACCGGCCATATCAACCACCTAAGTTCCTTCTACTAGCCTTGTGGACTTGCCAATGCAGCTCTTAAGCTACAGAATCAGTTCGGTCTGTCAGTCCGACTGAACTGAAGGTTTGTGGAGCGCACCATTTGCCACGCGACGCACGATTCAGTTCTGCCCGAAGGCTGGACCTCAGATCTCACAGGGGCACAATAGCTGAGGACAGCCATGGCCACTGCTCATTCCCGAAGGTGTTGAAATAATATCGTTGGGTATTGGAAAAGGAAAAGAGGCGCTCTTGTGAGAAGTGGTCTAAAGATTGGCTACTGAAGAGACTACTGCCCGGAGTTTTAATCACCCTCCTTCCCTCTTCCACGAAGAGGCCGCATGTAGGAATTTTTTCTTCGAGCAGTAGTTTTAATTGCTCAAACCTCTTCCCCTCCATGTGGAACCATCTAGGGTAGGGTTGGTAATCCTGTCCACCTTCGCTGATGCATTATGGGTCATCTTACTCATGTGATCGGTATGCCGGAGATGACAAACACTAGCGCCAAATTGCAGACTACACGGACGATCAACATGGAGATTTTTAATACCATTAATTGGCGAGGAAAAAATATATTTTCCATTCGAAAACCCATTTACAAAACTATTAAAAAGTTGAATAATCTATTTTAAATGTGCTCACTTTATTAGTATGTCACATTCGCATAAAGTTTAGTGGCAATGACCTGCCAGTGAAATTTGGTTCTATCCATTTTAAGGTTTCTAACCCAGAAAATTGCCCATTTATATTTTCCAGACAAAAACTCACAAAACTGCTAAAATGCCGAATAAATTATCTTAAATGCTCTTACCTGATTAGTACCAGCTTTTGAAAGATGAGACGATTTCAGTAGCTGAACAAACTTACACTTGGCAGTAAAACAAAACACAAGTCTCTTGAAAATTTCATAAGATAGGCCATAAAAACATTAATGTACAGTAATAAAAAAACAGGTACAGGGGGTCCCCGACTTATGAACGTCCGACTTACGAACGGGATTAAACTTGAAATTTACAATATTTTATTACCCTGAGGACTTACTTTTTACCTTCATTTATTGTATTTCGTCATTCTATTTCTTCTTTTGTCTTAAATTAAGTAATTTTAGAACTTAGGCTATGATATAGTGGGATTTTAAACATCGTTCTGTCAGTACGGTATGCACATAACATGTGTTCCGACTTAAGTACAAATCGGACTTAAGAACGTCATCTGGAACAGAACCTGTGCGTAACCCGGGGACCCACTGTATATAAAATTACCATCATGTTTTTCTATGTTCATAAATTGTATTTACTATAAAGATCCAATAAAACAAACAAAACAATTACGAAGAGGGTAACGAAGATCAGCTACTAGACACATCTTCAAATTCCAATATTATTAGTTTGTTTTTCCGTCATCCACTGCAGTGCAGGGTCCTTCGCATTTAAAACTATAGTTGTCGACACGACAACCACCGTCAATGGATGATGATGTTTAAAACTCCCGGGGAGAAACTTTTCATACGAGGCTGTTGACAACTAAGATTGGAGAATGGTGAATGATTTGACTACCTTCAAATGGACCATAAAACATCTTGAAGTTAATGTCAGTCTAAGAGCTACTAATCAAGAAAGATGATATCTGCATGTGGAAACTGGACGATCCTATGAGGATTTCAAGTTTTCCATAGATTTCTGCACAAGCACTGGGCAAGATCATACCTGAATTGAGGCCAGAGTGGTCTTCATGCCACACAAACTGCAGACAGTTTTTAGGTAGTCCCTCCAAGCCTTCTGTTCAGTTTGCAAGCCAGGGCTTCAGTTCAAACTACCCCCACAGGCCAAACAAAGCGTGTATGGGGGCTTAAGGGTACAATTTGGGTCTGGACCGCTCTACCCAATGTTTGTTAAAATGGAATACCCATTCCTGTTACCGACACAACCATGGCCAGGAGTACCAGAGGGTTAACTGAGAAACTGATAATAAGTTATGCGTGTCACTTGTATCATATGTGCAGAAGAAACAAACAGTCAAAGGGCATTTTGCTTGACACATTCCATCGATAATTCCAACCCTTCTTGATATTCCTGTTAGTTGCCAGGAATACTTGAACTACTGCATTCATTATCTACCTTACAATGTATGACTTGCAAGAAAAAAAAATATCCTTTGAATTAAAATTTTTGGAGTCACCATTAATTCTGGACCAAGCCAAACATTGGACCTTCTTTACACTGGACTTCACTGTTATGTTGGTCCACACTACAGTGGACAACGCTGTACACTGGACCAAGCCATAATGTTAGACCATGGTATAAATAAGACCATGCTGAACAGTGAACCATGCCATAATGTTGATCTATGCTAAACATTGGACTGTACTATAATGTTAAACCATACAGAACACTAGACCAAGTTATAAGTCAAAGACTCCTGTATAGTAACCATATCATGTTGAACCACTGTGCTTTATATTGGATCACCCTGCCTGGAGGTTTTAACTCAAAATATGAGTATCTTGTGCTTGGCTAAGGGTGACCTTAACAGAAAACTCACCCATACTGAGTCTCCTGCCCACAAAAACACAAGGATGACCATCTACTTTTTGTAACATTATCAATTAAGAATAAAAACAGAAGATACTGTACATATATTTAAAAAAAAATGAATAAGTGTTTAACAAGCAGAAGGCCAATATCCACCTTAATGATTCTTAAGAAGCCACATTTTCCCTCTGTATTGTGGCGTTCCCTGAAACTTATTTACGAGGTACGGGTTCCTGAGTGCCGTCTCGCTCGTGGAGACGAAGCAACGCATAACAATAAATGGGCAGTGATTATTTGAGGAATTCGGTTATCTGCTTATCATCTAGTGTCAAGAAGTACAAATTAATACTCCCTACAATTTGCAGACAAATGCTAAAATACTTATCTCATACACACATCACGTAAAGGGTTGTCAATAACCTGCACCACAAGAGGTCATCATAGGGATCAACAGATGTGGCCAGGGGTCATGTATTCCTTAGGCCCCTGGTGGGTCCAGGGTGGCAAACCCTAAGAAGCTCCTGGATTGTAGTGTTTAGAATGATTATGTCAGATGGTTTCACCACTGTTAATGACTAAGTACTTTTACCTAACAATTAGTGATACGGTCAAGAATAAAACAACTGATTCAATAGGAATTTTAGCAGACCATATCAACTGCCAATCTACTCTTATTGACAATCCTACAGCTCCTTCACATCCTCCTCTTAATATACATCATTCATCCGTATTAAAGGTTATTATCATAGACCTTACACGTGTACATATAGCATCATACAAGCCTGAGTCTACAAGATCATTCAGCAAATGTCTACTTAGAAAAAGCTAAAATGGCTGGGATGTCCCAATGTTTGTTAGTCATCTAATTGCAACATCTACCCTACTTAGGCTTAAGAGAGATCCAAAATAAGTATCTATAAATATTCCCTAAAGACAATCTGGACTTAAAAATTTCTCACAATTCTGGAATAGAATCTGTCAATAACTTATCTTCTGTACAATACAAGTAGCACATAAAATTTTGCTATAACAAGATGAACAGTTCAAATATACAGGCCAACATAAGTCACATCCTCTTTAAAATGTAAAACTATCACTCTAGGTTCATCACCACTGAAAAGATTCCAATTTTTACTTATATTCACTACAGCAGTACAGACTTACAGAGGTTAATTATGTAGTAAATATGGTTAAAAAGAGTATTATCCAAAAATAAATACAAAAACTTCATGCTAGAGAGAAAAAGTTGGACTTCACTTCCTTTCATCTTGAGCTGTGCCACAGACAGTACACCTCATCAGTGTTAAATGATAAAATTATTACAACCTTCAGAAAATATAATATTGACATAAAAAGTTTGTTCCCACCTCATGTGTCATTTCTCAGGTACGAGCTACTGACCAGCTTCAAGTTCCACACACACTCACTCTCGCGAGCGCACGCACACACACACACACCTGGCATGAACCGCAGTCATCGATTCATAGTGATTCTGTGTTTCTCATCACATTTACATCTTCTTACATCACACTCTTGTTTTCTTCTTTAATCCTTTTCTGAGTCCTTTACCGTACCATCCTGGTGTAATCTTTCTCTCTCCTTTCTCATCTTTTTCTCGACATTCTTCACCATCACTCATCTTTTGTTCATAATCTTTTATCTCATTTTCTTGTTCATCATATTCATCATCTTCCTCCACTTCATTTCCATGCACACTCTCAAATTTTGACTTCCTTTTCACCCGAACTCTTTCGTATGTAAAACTTGCAAGTTTTTTCTCAAAAATAGGTTCATATTTACGATAATTGTATGTACGTCTTCTTCTAATAATTTCCCTCGCTTTCTCCACATCCGCATCACATGCAACTCGGAAAGGTCGAAGTCTTGCCAGTCTGCACAGTTCAGGATTACTCCCGTTACAGTGACATTTAAACACATCAACTTCAGGGGCTCCTCGAGAGTCACTGGAAGCTCGAGTCCTGCTCCTCGTCACACGGCCAACAGGAAGACATTCATTGTCGTTATCTATTGCTTCATCACCCTCATTCAGGGAGTTCATTGCTGAAGCCAAGCTGCCACTTGTAAAGTTATCATTTTCGCTGGACTCCTTCTCCTTACTTTCAGCATTACTATCAAACCCCCAAAACCAAATACACTTTACATCCTCATTGTCACATCCCTTGGGCTTTCGCTTGGTTGAACCTTTCTGCCGAGCAACACTGTCATTCAGAGCTTCAGTACATATGTTCTTGAGGATGACAGAGCTGGACTTCTCTGGACTTAGGAGAACTTCATTTCTTGTGCGTTTCACAAAACCAGGATCTCTATTTTCACATTTAAGAAGTCTGCACTCCTTCATCCCCACCATGACTGCTAAAGTACTCAAGTTTTTCTCATTACTGGAACCACAAAAACTCTGATGCCAAATAGACTTCAATTCATCACTTTCTGAAACACTGAGCTGCTGAGGTGATAACTTGGATCCACCAATCAATTTAGAGTGCTGAGCAATAGCACTAACCTGGGATTTAGAAACAAAGTGTTCCTGACATGAAGAGGAATTATTGCAAGGTGGGACTGAAACTCTAGGAGTATCACTGGGAAAAGGAACAGTTACCCTTGTAATATCACTGTTTGCTGGAAGAGGAACCTTGTGTGCATCTTTACAGGAAGGAACTGGTACATTCTCAACATCAGACTTATCATCTGCAAGAGTTTCAACACAAGCTGTCCTAATTATGCCATCAACTATGTGTGTTCTTAACAAGAAACTTCCATCAGTCGATTGATTATTACTCTGGGATAAATATTCATCCCCAAAGCATACTATGTTTTCTTTTTTCAAAATTTCACTATTTTGGCGAGCAGTTTCTGGATCGCTAATGTTAGTCACTCGTAAAACAGAGGAAGGCTGTGGCGCTTTCATCATAACCTCCGAATTGTGTACCTTATTTATTTCATGATTGAATGTTTTCACATTATTACATGGAACACTCAGTTTCTGGAGGATGTCACAGCCCTGTTCTATTGTGCCTATATCTATTTCACTCTCATGCTTATTACAATATACAGCCTTATCACTACAATTACCTGAAAATGCAGTCAAATTGTTCCCGTACTCACCTGAACACACAGCTAACTTATTACAATCACTCGAACACATAGTCAGGGTAGGAGACTTACGACAGTTGGGAAGACTAGAAGATTCAGTTGGAGCCGTGGGGGTCGCAGGCAAAGAGGTATTACTATTTTCCCTTGTAGTATGGCAGGCAATTTGGTCACTTTCACTGTCAATTCTTCTCATGTCATCTGTTTGCACTAGACTTGGCATATCCATATTTACCTCTACTTCTGCATTTTTTTCTCCACCTGCCACACTGGTATCTGATCTTCCCTCATCACTTATTACCAGTTTGTTAAGCCTGTCATCACTTTTAGAGTTATCAACAAATGACCTTATGCAGAGACCAGTGCCATAGAAATCATTCTGCTTTAGAAGAGCCTGACCTTGCTTGGCCATCTGAACATTGGTAGATGCATATGCTAACTTGAAATAGTCTATGTTGTTAGGTTTATGTAGCTGATGGTCTAGAATGTTCATCTCAAAATCTTCTGTCTGACAGTCATCTGCCTCATCCACTTGTTCGCTAGAATCTGAGTCTGAACAAGAACTTTCTTCATCTAATGTATTCTCAGCAAGTTTGTCACTGAGCCATGGTTCCCCTTCAGCATCAGAAGTTTGGAAGTCTTCATCACTGTCCGAGGGCTCACTCTTCACCTCCTCCACGTCCATGGACCCTACCAACACCTCCTCAGTTTCAACAATTTTGCTCTTGGCTGTTAAGGCTCTGTACAGCTCACTATACTGACTACAAAAGCTCTCTCCATTGTTCCAAGTCGTTTCCTCTTTGATATCTTCTTCCTTGACATCATTAATGAGACTGTCTTCACTTTTTATTAGATCATCAGCCTCAAATAAAATGGGTTTACAATCTTTATTATCACTGTTTAAAAGATCTAATGACTGACCATGGGAAGCTACATTTTCATTCCAACGTAAAGGTATATTTTCTACGTTCCAGGCCAAGTGGACACCATTCACAGGCTTTATGTCACATTTAGTTTCATTTTTTATATCAAATTTTGTTTCATTTTTTATGTCACATTTTTCATCTTTCACGTCACTACTTAAATTCTCACCCCTGAACTCTTTATTAACCTCATCACTCCCTTGAATCTTCTCATTCCATCTCACATCATAGCCTGTAACTACAGCATCTTTATTCTCCTCTATATCCAACTCCTTGTCATCTTCCGGAGGTGGAATCAGACTGGGACGGGATGAGGTGACAGCTTCTGCAGGATGAAGCGGAGTGGCAAGGTTGAAAATTGGATCTGACGAGCGTGAATAAATAGGTAATTCATAGCCAAGGGCCTTCATCACCAAGGCCATTACTTCATCACATTTACCTGTACGGGAGTAAAAATCATGTTGTCATCTTTGCAAGGCTTTATACATATTATATCCTTTAGTTAATCTGTAACATAAGGTAACAACAGCACAAAATATGCCTACACAGCCTCTTAAGTGTGAAAATACAAAATTACACCATTGTTTTTAATATGTATCATGAGTCAGGCTATCTTCATCCTGTACCTGTCCCCTGCTAAAGCCATGCACTATGGTGAGGGATTGATCCAGAGATTTCAATATAAACAAGGGTAATCCAGTTTGGTAGTATGGTATGAAAGAAAAAATCGGATCACCTAAAGATTATGCACCCCAACGTAATTCACCCAAAGACAAATCACCCTAATGCTAACCTAACCTACCCTAATCCACCCCACCATAGCATTAAGTTGGTTAATGTTCAGGCAAAATAAGCTGGGATGCCTAGTAATCAGATGTCCAAAAAAAAATATTTTGTTTGTCAAAGATGAAATCAACCCAACTTAAAAGTGTAGGAACAAAAGACTTGAGCGACAGATTTTTCCCTATGGTACGTTGATTGTGTGCTGTAAGTTAACCAGAATAGGAGGAAAGAGGCGTCTTTTATTTAGGGGGATAAGTAGGAAGTACCATTGATTTTGAGTGTTGCATCTTTATCCTTTGGCGTCCACTGAAGATTAACAATGTACAGCTGAGGCCGCTTCTTCGGGGGTCGATCCATCTGCCACAGCCATGGGTATTTCTTCAAGACCTGGAGGAAGATTTGTGTTGAGTTAAAATACTAGTTATATGAATATCAGGAGAAAACACACATCCAACCTATATTGCTTCCAGTGAACCATAAAGACAAGGAAAAAATATGATGATAAAGTGTATTTCTACAATATTATGTACAAAAAAGGGGGGGGGGGGAGACAGGTAAGATTTTTTTTTAACTATGGTTAATTGTTAGTGTGGCCCTGACAGTACAGCTTAATATTGCAAACATACAATCAGAATTCTAGACCAAACAGAAATATAAAATAAATTAAAAACTGCACACATACCTTTAAACTGGAACCCAGACAGAGGATGGTATCACAGGCATTGGCAGCCTGACACGCTCCCTGCCAATTCAGTGGCCATCGAAGCTTTCCCCTCTCACCAAAATGTACAATAGTATCAATTAAAGGTTCACCACATCTGGAAAGAAAATTTCTATTTCATTTGGTGTCATTTCCAATTGTTCATGATACATGACACATCCACAAGATACACAGTACACCCACAAGATACATGGCACAAAACTTTTAAAAATAAAATAATACTAAATAAGTACAGTAAATCTAATCAAGAGAGAGACAAGTTACTGGGTAAAAAATAAAAAATTTTAATTAAATGCAGTACAGTAATATATCATGTCTATTATAAACTGTAGTATACAATTAGAGTACTGCAAATGGTACATTAATATGCCAACACAACTTTATCTTTAAAGTTTTTATCCCCAAAGCAATAGGCCTCTAAGCATCCATGAGTTGAGTTTGGTAAAGTATTGAAGTGTACAACAAGTCATCATGCAGATATAATAGGGTTCACACATGGAAATAGAGCAGCATGCCATTATTCACATGTTTATTATCAAAATGAGAAGAAATTTTTTCATCATTCATCAATCAATCTATCCAAACTTGCTAAGTGTCATTCCCTTCGTCAACTCTCCCTTGGGGGGTGACCAAGACAAAATAACCTTCAAGTTGCCCTCAATCAATTATGCCTCTCTAACTAGCCTCCACCAATCACCTCAGATCTCTATCAAACATCTAACAGCATGTACTCTGAACATAATCATCCTCTCCTAAAGGTTGTAACATGAATATGTTGCAGATGGAGCAGAGGATTAATACATACCTGTAACAACGTCGTCCAGTAGTGTGTTTATAGATGGAGGTTCTTTCTGTCAAATCAAACGTTCGCACATACTCCCGTGCCGGAACACAGTGCTTGCACACCTTTACGGATAAAAAGAGTATTAGTTCTTTCATTTTACCTCAAAATTAATGACGATTAGTGAATTATGAATGAAAATGACGTTAATGAACTTCTCCTTATGCTAATATTACTACTGCCAATGATTTTATATTTTATTTTTTTAAATAACTGAAAATCTATATTTTCTCTTTAAGTGGCTATGAAGAATTGATAAGTCAAAAGTCATCCTTTCTGAATAAACAAATACTTGAAAGCTTAAAGGAGATTCTTGGAACCACTTTTGACCCACAGTACAGTACAGTACTCTGATCTGGTAGTAGGGAACTAGGAAATTTCTAAAATGCTTATGGATAGAAGCATGTCAGAGAATCTCCCTTAAGTCAAGAAAGTTATACTGTATATTTAAAAAAAAACTCCAAACATCACAGTATTTCTTCATTCATTTATTTAATGCCAAGAATAACTCCTGACTTCTAAATGAATGTGGAAATGCCTCATCTTAAAACTATTCTGACTCAAAGCTGAATTACAAGTATGCTCCTTAATGCTTCTAGTACATAAACGACTTTGAATGCCCAAGTACCCCATTCTAGATTCTGTTATTGCGTAATGGGCGCATCTGCCACTCACTAGAAAACCCTAAGCCTCCAAAGTTCAACCCCACACCCACTCCTCTCCCCTTTTCTCCCAAGGGAAAATTAGATACGGGACCCAGTTTACAACAAGCATCACCAACCTCAATATACATGTTCCCATGAACTTCCGACATGGCCGTCTTGGGTAAACCTGAGCGTAGATGGAGTCCATCACAGTTTTGGGAGACCACATGGCGCACAATACCTTGCTGGTAGAGAGCAGACAGGGCCATGTGAGTTAGTGTGGGCTCTGCCGCAGACAAGTCGTGATGCCTGGAAATACAATATTGACATTAATTCTTGTTCATCATTTTTAACTTTTTCTGTCCTGCTTGAGTTATTGAAGTGTTTCCTCTTCAGCCACAATGACTGATTTTGTGTCACTCTTGTTCCATCCACTTCATCCACACAATGTCTCACAAACAGTTCATCCTCTTCCATACAATGTCTCTCACAGTTCATCCACTTCTTCCACATCATGCTTCACAGTCCATCCACATATAATAAATTCTTTTAGGTATGACAGCCAAATCTAAGAATGACTACAATATCCCCTCCTCAGAATTGGGATGAATATCTACAACGTACCCAATATCCACACCCTTCTGTAGTAACGTCCAAATACCATTGGGGCCTCGGTAATCGGGGATGGAAGCGGCCGTTGATATGCCTGCCCCTGTGTATACCACCAGGAATTCTGTATCATGTATAGCCTGAAAGAAATAATTTAAGTGAAACAAGAATACCACAAACAACATACACTAAACCTCCAGAGATATCAACTTCTAATCTTCGAACTCCAAAATCAATAGGTTTCTGACCACCCCTACAGGCTATTGGTATTGTTCTACAAAAAGTTATTGTAAGGAAACCCCAAAGTGATAACAGGCAGACATTTCTATGCCATTATCTGTTACTCAAAGGAAGCACATAAAAAATCAGCTTGAATAAGAGGAATACCATTAACCAAAGACAAAAACTGCCAGCCTGTCCTCTTACCTGGGCGAGCTGCTCACACTTGGCTTGCAGAACCTCCTTTGTGTCCTCTTGCTCTGTTTTGCGTGACTGCCACACTGCCCGACGCTCACGTCTGTTGAAGATTAACAGTATTGTACAGTATGAGGATGTTCATGACAACAGATTGCCGATATCCTTCACAATCAGAACAGTTTGGTTACACTATGATAATGTATCATACAGTATAATGAAAAAGTGGATATAAAACTTTGTGACAAATTACAACAGATGAATAATTCTATTTACCATACAACCAAATTTTTGGAAAAACCCATTACGAATCATTTTCAAATAACCGTACTCGTCCCATGACAAACAAGCCCCAATTCAGATTTCCCATCATTTGCTTGTAATAGGGATGGTTCGGGATAATCCCACGGTGGCACTGAAGGATTTATTTACAAGAGCATTGCTCCATGTGCCCGATCTGTGACCCCCTTCTCTGGATTATTTTTACCATTGTTTATTGGCTGTGATGGCCCCTAAGTGGTATAGTACCTGTACTTCTTCAGGTTATACATACAGTGCTGTACTCTTGTTTCCAGTCTTTGTTACAGAATATATTTATTAAATAACTCAAATAACAGAAAAAAATAAGTCTACGTGTTCACAGGCAAAGGTAATACTGACAAAAACACAGTTAAATCCAGGAAAGTTCCTCAGAGATCATGGGTACATATTTATTACTTCTACATCTAGTCTGAGGGCCTGAGTCATATCAGAAAGTGTCAACAGTTTTTTACACGTCGGTAAGGAACTCGGCAAGTCGAGGATAATTTCTTACACAAATCAGAGAGTTGTCCTCAAGATGACGTTAAGTCAAAGGGAACAGAAACACCTTGGATGCAGTACAAACCTCTTATAGAACTCTTCCACAAGTTCAGCATTCTCTTCTAACAAATGTCTGTCATCCAATGTTAGTGAGTCACGTTTTTTTCGCAATATAGATGATACCTGCAAATAACATTACAGTATAAAAATTAAGAAAATTATTTAAAAAAATCATAACTTGAAATTCATAAAAATAAATTGGTCATCAGTACAGTACCCAGTTGACAAATCCTGTAATAGAATATAAAAGTTTACCAAAATTGAGTGAATTTACTATAACTTGTAATCCACAAGAAAAACATTAAAGTCGGAGAATCACTGTGATGTGATAGACGACATTTATAGACTTTGAAAGAAATTAGTTACTGGTATATATTAGCTCAATCCCTGTTCTTCATTTTCTCAAACTCTGTACAAATAAATTGTCTTACTACAAAACTGGTAGTGTGTACATATAACAACATTATGTAAAAGACAAGAAAAATATGTAAGGCATCTTAAACCAGTGTCGCAGATTATGCAAAGTACTAGATTAGCTTCACAACACATGGTGATACATTTGAATGACAAAAGGTTTTTAGTTACAGTAAAAGCAAACTAGTTTGGATCATATGAAGATTAGTTACCCCAGCTTATTTTGCCTGATGATTAAACACCCTAACCTTGGTTAGGTTAAGCTAGGGTATGTTAGGAAAGATTTGACTAGGTTAAGTTAGGGTAAGATGGGTTAGGTTACATTGGATTTGGTTAGGTTAACTTAGATAAGCATAAAGGTATTTATTTATCAGATGAAATACACTGGGGCTTAGGTTTTATATTGGGGACAGCCAGAGTAACTGCAGTTACCATAATTTCTGGACAGATGACCTGAAATACAAGATGATGGTATGGGCATCAATTGTGACAATAGTAATTTAATTAAGCCTTTCAACAAAGTCACACACTTTTAAGTACAGTATACTATTACACAAACAACAAATGCAAACATTAAAAAAAAATATTATGTACTGTACAAATTAACTCCTGGGATTTATATTGGATCATAAACAAATCTTAAGTGTAGAATCATCTGGTAGGAGAAAAAATTAACAGTAGTATCCCTGAAGCAACTGTGATGGTATAAGAACCCAAACCTCTAAAAAAATAATGGTAAAGTCTTTCTGAGTGTAGAAGACACAAAATAACTCCAGAATTATACCTGTACATCACTGAGGCTATTCATAGACTTCAAGAGAACAATAATTGGGCAAAATATGTTTGACAAATGGCTTCTGTAAGTTTACCCTAAAGACTGTCAAGTAATGAGGAAAAAATTCAATAGTTGTAGAAAACACCCAATAAAACCTAGAACAAGGAATGAACCCACTGGATAGATCTAATTCATATTTAGTTGTAACAAAAGACACTATGCTGACTTGTGTAATGGATTTATAAGATAATATGAACATATTACTGTACACTATGTAATGTAGTTACTGGTATCAGATATTTTGATCATCATAACAAAAACTTTTAGACCCTTGTGCAATAGCTAACCCCCAGCTTGAGTCCACCCAAAATAATTACAGAAATTCATTCTTCAAAATTATCCCAGAATTAAGAGATTATGGTAGTTTTATGATCCAGTGAGCATGAGAATATTTAATGAACCAATTCTTTCATACTGATATATACCGGTAAACAAAACTGTTACAAAAGTTTTAAGATTCTAATATACAAACACAACTCTATACCATACGATCTATTTTAATTCAGAGGTGGAAAAATATCAGGTGCCACAGACTTCATCAGACCTTATAAGTGTAGGCAAGATAGAACATAAAGTATTGCTTCACACACACAACACCGCATGTATGGAAGCGTACCTCACTGAATAATAAACTGCAAGAATTTTAACTCATTTGAAAGAAACACACACAAGTTGTGGTAAGATTAATAAACCATTGTTATAGAGAATCAATAGCAGCCTGACAGTTATTATATAAAATATAATAACGAAGAGCCCATGTTACAGGCAGATGACAGCCTCCTGACTGAAGAGATATAATTATCATTATGTGACATACAAGCCCCTCCTGAAGGGTCATAATAGGTATAATGGTATATACGACTATTACTATTAACTGCTCCAAACTCAGTTAACACTCCTTAACTCCTGCTAATAAATCCTCCCTCTCTAAATTAAGAACAACATTCCAGGATAAACATTAAGGCTTGCTTAGTAACGGTAAAACAGGTCATTTCGAGCCTTTGTAAATGACAAAGCCCCTCAGTTGGGCTGCCACCTCGGCAAAGTCCTTTTAAGACGGAAGACTAACGCCTCATATCTTGGCTTCCCAGAGCCCTCCCTCGCCCCTCCGCGGCATTCATTTGGGCACCGGGATTTAGAGGGACACTTACTCTCTTCATACGAGTGGCATTTTTCTTGCTGATGTTGAGGGAGGCAGTGGCAGCAGCCTTTCTTCTGCCAGGCTCGGCCGGCGCACCACCCTCCTCCTCGGCCATACTGGTGTTTACAAACATTGACGATCACCCGACCTCTGGTGAGGAGTCAACGAACCTCACTCACCACAGAGCATGGGAAGCTCTCTCCAGATACCTTGGCTCCTTCTCTCTCTCTCCATGACAAGAGTAAGAAGGTGGAGAAGGAATGGTAGTGACATATCTAATGGGTAGTGTGAAGGGCGCACACTAGCGTTTTCACCTTAAGATTGACGTAACAATCTAGCATAATTTAACCTAACAAATGTTATGGGGATTAATCTTACAATGAAATAAGATGAGAGGCGAACTTTCCGGTAACATTCCCACATGTATTTACTAACACCAAGTTAGTAATGTTACATGTACCAATCCAGATGATAACAAATATGCTAAATAATTCCTTGAGATAAATGTACGGTATACTGTATGCCAGGTGCCACTAAGAGAGCTCAGGCTCTCAATTGGCTCGGCCATGTCAATGTTGTTAATATTATCTACTCTGTACTGCATACGTATTGTTCTGGCTAAATAAAATTTCAATATCAATATCCGGTTACTCCCGTTTCCGCCTGTACACTGAGCAATGACGATCTTAACAATTAACAAAGAACGACAAGTAAGATGATAAATGGTGAAAAAATAAATGAAATTCCTCCGTTTCTCGTGCTAGTGAGTCAACATTGGGTGACGGGTGAATAGAGTACATGTTTGTAATAAGAAAGGTCACCTCGTGCCAATCGTCGATATACAGTACGTATTGTCCCGGTAGCTGCTTGTTTCTGAAGGAGAGGCGGTTCTCATTTGAAGAGTGAGTGAAGGAGCAATACTAGACAGGAAATCCTCTGGGGTTGATATAACTGTTATCAACGGATGCAACGAGCTCATTAATACCGAAATTCTGTATCCTTTTTAAATTACTGTATATAACGGAGATGCATCAGGATAGAAGCAAGCGCTACTGTATGGGTAGAAGGACATGACAATGGTCGGGGCCAGGTGAGCGGAGGGAAGACATCTGGCAGAGAAATAAGACATTAGTGTAAATTCTCTCAACAAAACGGGACGGGGGGAGAGTTCAGTTTGCATGTTGGCTCCTGGGGGGATGTGACAACCCAAATTAACGCAAGAAGCAAAGTTTTGAAGGAACCCAAATACCCAATACTAAATGATAACAGGGATGTGAGGCTCCGCCTATTCATAACGTCAGGGGCCTAAACATGTGCGCGCATATGATTTTATCAATTTATTTAATATTAATATACTTCAACAGCCCACTCTTGACAAAAGCGTTTGAAAAATATAAATGAGACAGTATTTTAGATTCTATAATTTCTTCGAAGGAAATGTAAATTATATGAAGTGATCTTATAACAGTGCATCTTGGTACGTACGTTGTACTGTACAAATTATCTAATGAGGTAGTACCAAAATGACTGCTTACTTTGAATTATATTGCCGGATGATCTTACCAAGGGCGGATCCAGGAATCTGAAAACGGGGGTCCAAGAAGTTGTGGGTGAGGTAACATGGTGAGCACAGCGAGCCCACCCAGCTTGGGGGGGGGGCTCTGTAAGTCTGTAGTGGATCCTCTCCCCTACAACTCCCAACTGAGCTCCGGCCGCGCGCCTACCAGCCAATCAGCGTACAGCTTCCAAGTTCCAAGTTTAGAAGCTACAAAAAGTTGTTGGTAGCGAAAGGCAGAGCGGGGCCAGCTACGCCGAGAGACTAGGTCTATGCAGTGGACGTAGGATCGCCGAACCTAGTCTCGACCTTCAACTTCCAGCTCAGGATCAGAGCGTTTCACACCTTACGCTTCCGCTGCCGTGATTGGCCCTCGCGCTACGAGCACCTCATATCCTGAGTTTCTTTAAATCACATAAATACGGCCACTTACAGTACGCTACAAGTCCTCCCCTTCCGATTTTTTTTAATGTGACCAATATCATGGCCATTTGAAGCCATGTGCACTTGATATTAAGAGATATTCAGAGGTCAATAGGAATTACTTTTTACGATACAAAAACACCTGGGTACAATACTGTAGTAAAGAAAAATAATTGGAATTTCCCGGTGAAAAGGAGGTGCCGATCCGCTCCTGCTTACTCTATGTATAATTTCACCACTGACTTAATTACTAGCCTTTCGGTTTGTTCTTTGTTACGACCTTCATTGTCCAGTGTTATAATAGTGCAGGGAGAAACCGAAGTACCCGGAGAAAACCTGCGATATTTGTTGGTGTAGTGGATTCCTCCCCTACAAACGCCGTGTCGCTGTCTAGCCGACCCCCCGCGAATCTCTCAGTGTATCCCTCGTGGTCAAGGTCAGGTAACCAGCGCCCCCGAACAATGCGGAGGTCTACAATCAAGCCTAGCCGACCCCCGCTATATAAGACCACACCTGGCCGTGACCTGCCACTTCTTCTAGCTACAGCCGCAGCAAGCAACACCACCTCTGAGCACCCTCACCAACCAGCTCTCCCTACTCACGTTTGTAACCACGCTGCCTCCTCCCAGCACCAGCCACCAAGCTGCATTGTACATCCAATACAACATGTATACAGAGAGCACATTGTGAGTTTCCTTTCTCCATCCCATCCTGAGTGTGAACCAATATCTTATACCCCACAGTGTCTCACTGGACAACACATTCCCTGCTCACATCTGTCCCGGGCCCCGTCACTGGGGCTGAACTCGTGCCCTTTATAATTATTATTATTTTATTTTTGCGGGAGTTAGTCCATCCGGGCACAGGTCAAACGGCCTACAACTGGGCCTGGGGAGCGAAAAAATAAGAACAGAAAGAAATTGAAAATAGAGAAGAAAAAGACCAAACTGTGTTAATCTAAACCACGAAGACGCCGGAAAACCACCTTTTTAACGTGAGACAGATTGTATAAGTATGGAACCATAGAAAAAGGCAGAGCATTCCACAGTTTGGCTGTGTGAGGAAAGAAGGAGATACAATTAAAAAGGATCTGATGGCTTTGTTGACTATCCTTGGATAATCCACTTAGTTTAGTATTTTCTGTATACTTGTATTGTCTGTGTATATTGTATACCTGCATTATCTATATACATGCTGAAAACATATCAGGGTTTGTTTTATACTTGAGTACGCTGGACAAGTTTACAAAAGACGTCAAAACCTGCGTAAGCTCGGGAGTGGAAATAAGTTTTCTCCTTAAGTTATTCATTAATTTAGCAAGGGATTGTATTAATTTAGCTTTCTGCATAAGATGAAGAAGCATAGGGAGGAAAATAAAACAAAACAAGAGAAAGTACGATACGTATCATGAGTCATACAGAGCAGCCTGTCACCCAACCCTTACCGTTTAAATACCGTCCAAAGTTCAAAACTATTTTGAAATACGAACTTCAAGAGAATATATGTTTATTATTTAGAAAATATCACAAACATAAAATAAAGTGAAAGTGCAGTCTCTCAATTTCAGTACTTTTACAATCTTTTGTGTCTAAATAGATTTTAATTAGATATTGTAAAGATGTAGTAATTTATTTCCCCTTTTCTGAGTTTATCAGTGAAGTAGAATGTAAGAATACTCTGTATTATGATATAATCTGATATTTTTTAAGCTATCGGAGGAGTAAATTATAAGAATTTCAAAGGTGTAGTATCACATTTGTTTGTGAAAACATAAATAAAATTAAATAGAACAAATAAACTTACATATTAAATATATAGTGATGAATAAAATTACAAATTTAAGAATAGTGTGAATACTTTGCACACAATAATAAATTTCCAAAGGAGCACTGGTTATGTAGTGGCGCAGGACAGTGTTGGGTTGCGCCATGACTAACGGACGGTAGGAACTTCATGGCCACCTTCCTATTATTTTTCTGGGTGTGGCAACTGTCCAGCTCGTCATGAACGTTGTCAGTATCATGGATAACGAAGTACAAATACTAGAGATGGTATCTGAAGCCGAAAACCCAGAGAGTGAACACGAAGAAGGAGAAATCAGCGAAGATGACGATGTTGACGGTGAGACGACGACGAGTAGCTGCTTCCCCCCTTCTCACCACCCTCACCACAACTACCCTCAACACTTCTCCTACTCTCCAGGTGAGGAGGAGAAGATGTACTAACGCTTAGTTATCTGACTCACAAATTTTTAAAAGTTATCCACTTGCCTGTTGTTGCTTACCTGGTACCTCGCTTTCCTCCATGTGACCTTGTTAACCACGGTCACGTCTAACAGCCTCGCCTTACACTCTTCACCCTTTACCCCTTAACTACACCATTAATCTCAACAACCCTTGGCCTTTGTCTCTACGCTGGAGGTCTTCAGGGGTACGGCAGCCTAATGCGTGGTGGGCAGACCGTAAAGGTGTTGCAGACGCTTACCACCTCAATGTGTTTATTTATTTCGTTCATATTTTCCATAGTTCATTGGATGATATTAACTAGTATAATTGGTATGACAACTTTTATTTGAATTATAAGAATTGGTTAATACATAGGACTAACCCGCCAGGGCTTCATAGGGCCGATGCGGCCGTATCATCTCACGTCCAGAAAATGCCTAAAATTTCCCCATATCTTAGTAAGTTCTTTCTGTTTAATATAACGGGAAAGTTAGGTAAGGTTAGTTAAGTTTGTTTGGTTTGGTTGGTTAGGTCTTCTTCATAACCACAAATGTTAAGTAGCGTTTATTAAAAAAAAAAAATTTCCACAAACTACAAGTGTCCACTGTAATATAACAATGAAAATCCGGCGTTTTTATAATTGTTTTCAATCCATTTCGCTTGCGGGTTAGTCCTATATAATTACAGTTTCAGCAACAGCTTTATGGAAAGCTACAGCTTCAGCCAGAGTTTAACCTGATGACTTCGTCATCTGAGTAAAAACTCGCACAATATTCATTGGCTGTCCTTATGTTTTAGACCAGGGGTGTCAAACTCATTTGCCAAGGCGGGCCAGATTTAATATGAGTACACAGTATGAGGGCCAAGTAACATAATTATGAGCACTTTGGAATCACCTCTTAGGTGAGTAGTACGACAAAATAAGAAAGGTGGATTTAGTCTGCGCTCGTGCGAAACCCTTAAAAACAAACAAATCAGGTGTTTACTTACCTTGATCAATCTTATTGTTTGCTACTGCTGCTTCATTATAATTGGCACCTCTTGGTATGGACCAGTGCATCAAAGTTTGGCACTAACAACTGAGCTGTAGCAACCTTCAGTATTGAATTAAGGTGCGCATCAGTAAGTTGAGACCGAAGCCGAGACTTGTTCAAGTTCATCACAGAAAAGAGTTGTTCACAGACATATGTACTTAAGAACATTGACATAATCTTTGAGGCAAAACATTTAATCCTGGGATAATTTAGTCCAAAATATTGATAAAGTGTGCCAACATCAACACTCGAAAACTTGTTCCTCAACACAGAATCACACTGGAGCTCAATTAATTCTAACTGAAGATGTACTGGTACCTCATTAACACCAACAGAGAATTGGTCCTGAAAAATTAAAAAATTCCTTCTCAAGTCTTTTAAAGTCAGCAAATCTTTCTTGGAACTCATTCATTAATTTGTAAATCTTGATGCAGTACTTTTTTTTGTTTATATCAGCATGAAACTCAGGTGTGCCTTGCAGGGACTTCAAGGTCGGAAAGTGAGAAAGATTACTCTCTGATAGTTGCCGTTCAAAGAGCTGGTGTTGATTGAGTATTTTGTTCAAAGAAACAGCAGACTATTTTATTCAGCTGAGGGATACACTCACTATTTAGTTTTAGCTCCTCAAGGTAAGGCTGGAGCAGCAAATGGGCCACGGGCCGTATGCGGCCCTGACACCCCTGTTTTAGACTTTACCACCATTGGTGAGTATAATTTTTTTTTACATTCATTTAAAACATGTATGAACAGTAAATAAGTGTTGCTTTCATATTCATATGTAGAAAAATGACGATATGTTTTCACATGTACTCACTGTTCATACGTTGGCGTTCCCAATCGTCTCGCTTTATTTCTTTACCATTAATGGTTAACTACGTACTTCTAGAGTTCAATTTATTAACATTAAATAACATTACTTAAAACATACATACAAGTATTAAATTTTTTTTATATATGTTCACTACAGCTACAACCAGGGTCTTATTTTCTTCAGTTTCTTATGTAGAACCATCGTCACTCACGAAAACAATGCCATCTTGTCTCCTCGTGTGTGTTTTAATATTCTATGTATTATTAATGAATTGCATTGTTCATTTCACATATATAAACATTAATTCAATCAAATACATATTCAGCAATAAACACTGATAATGAATCTTTTGTACATACTGTATTCTTAAGATAAATGACTTTCCTTGAGTGCGGATGTATACATTGGCATTCCACAATCAGTCTCACTTTTTCTTTAATATCAGTGGTTACTTCTACTGTACATAAAATAATTAATTAAAACATACATATTTTTTACATTAATTTTACTACAACAACAACCCAGGGTCTTATTTTCTTCAGTTTCAGGTGGATAACTGACATCATGGGTGTAAACACTGACAACAATGCCGTCTCGTATCCTCTTGTGTGTTTTAATATTCTACGTATTATTAATGAAGTGTATTGTTTATTTCGCATATATAAAGATTAATTCAATCAAATACATATTCAGTAATAAACAATAATGAATGTTTTGTACATATTCTTAAAAAGATAAATGACGCGGTATCCTTAAATGCGCACGTATATGTTGGCGTTCCCAATCGATCTTTTTTTTTTTCTTTGCCATTAGTGGTTAGCTACTTCTATTGTTCCATTTATTAACATTAAATAACGTTACTTAAAACATATATATTCATTTTTTTACATTAATTTTACTTCAGCTACAACCAGGGTCTTATATTCTTAATTTTCTCGTGTAGAACTATTGTCCCAGACTCCCGACTGTAAACACACGAATACAATGGCGTCCCGTCTCCTCTTGTGTGACAATATTATTATTCATTTATATTGTATAAGGTGCATTCAGAAACATTATTTAAAGAATATAGTTTGCACTTTTCATTAATTGTATTGTTTTGGGGGAAAAAGAGGGTAAAAAGCCACTCATAAGATATGAAAAGGTCACACTTGGGAACGCATCTCATTATTATTGCTTTATTTTAATGGTAATTAATGATTCGCGATGCGATGATTCACCTTACACTGCAATATTGGAGGACACATTAACGTCGTTATTCGAGACTTTACTGTATCTCTGTTGATGATTATAGCACCTGTATTGGGCAGAGCATGAAGGATGAGAAATTGCGGGCTAAAATGGTGTCGTTACGTGCTCTGTAGGCAAAGAAATTAATTAGTTATCATAAATATTCCGCTGAAAAATCTGCTGTGTTTGCGCCTGTTGTCGTCAGCTCATTGTTTCAGTGCAACAAACGAGCTGCTTGGTCTGAGTGTACTCTCATAAAAAAATGCTCCATGCCACTTCAAAATACAGGTAGTTGCTTGCATTGATACCAGATATCAAAGTATTGTAAGTGCTTTTTGCTTTTTATTCGAAGCTCCCCAGCGAGGAAGTTAGGTTAGGTTTCTTTGGTTAGGTCTAATTCTGTGCATTCTCGTTTAATTTTAGTGTTCAGTATCTTGTGAATAGTATCTCCAGAAATTTTGGTTCAATTCCATATATTATATCTGGTGCTAACCATCTCCTTCGCCTTTAGCAGTCATAGTTACTAAGGTGGCCTTCTGATTAACCCAACCATACCATGAACAACACAGTCTGTATTATGGCTGCTGTACCTTTATCCAGTATAAGGTTAACAACTCTGTTCCCAGGAAGTTGATCACCTACTCCTGGGAAATTCCCAGCATTATATTTAGGTCGAGGGTAATAGTACAGATATTTCGTCATGTCTCGCAACAACTGATAATTGAATGATTCTTGAGAAACCTAAACTCATGTCAGAGATGATGTGATCAGTGTACTTGGCCATCACAAGAGGTGTGACATGATATGACTACAATTAGCCTAAGTGTTACTTTTATAATTTAACTGCCTCAATAATACTGTATATATTTTTAAAATTATATTCAAACATTTGGAAGTTTGGCAAAATGTTACAGAATGCAATTCATCTGTCTGCACTCGGTTGTATAGCACAGTAAACCCTCGCTATTCGTGGGGATTAGGTTCCAAGGAATGGCTCAAATTGGCACAACCGTGAATAGGAACATTATTACCGTAGTGCATTACTGTAGACCTACACGTATAGGTGCTCCTCTACTTACGAACGAGTTACGTTCCTGAGGCTTGTTTGTAAGTCCAACTTTACTCTTGTAGATAGCAAACATATTGTAAAAAATGAAAAGATTATGGATATTTAGTACAGCTATACCCTTTAATACAGCCTTAAAACCTGGCTCGCTCTTCTCTCTCGTAATGTTTGTTCTATCTGGAATTTTCTTTGAAATAATCCAGTCTCATCCACATTAAACACCTGTTCTGGCAGGTAACCCCCCCTCAGTGATGACGTTTGTATCTCTGAAAGTTTGTTAGTTGAACGTTCTTAAGTAGAGGAGCACCTGTACAGGTACTGTGTAGAGAAACTTAAGTCATCAATACTACTCTCCTTCATATGTCGAAGTTTGGAGCTTGATGAAGTGTACTGTACAGGAGGATGAAATCTGGTTACTGAAGCATAGGGAGATCATCAGGATCACTGTTGGAAGAGGGTGATGCAGAGGCGGGTGGTGGAGGGGCGGCAGCAGCTGACTGAGTAGGTGAGGGAGACAAATCAGTTGGGTGAGCGGCTGGTTCTTTCTTGAAAACATCATGATTGGTAGTTGTTTCCTCTTGCCTTTGAAGTTTCTAATTGTTTCACTCCAATAGCACTGACATTAGGCAGTCTTTTAGGGGCCATTTCACACAGAAACACTAAAGTTTTGAGTACAACACAAGAGAAGATGCATCGCAGGCAATGGTTGAGCACAAACAAAGGGAGAGGAGATGCTGCGGGTGCGTGGGGTGACTCGGTGCGCTGCAGGAGAGGCTCATAAGCTGGCCACCATCTGCTTACCGCGAATAGTCAAAATTGTGAATTGCAAATCCATGAATGGCAAGGGGTTACTGTACTGTAATACCAGTAATAGTGGAGGAAACAGTATCACCAAATGGAATTTATAGAATTTGTAAAAAAAAAATCTTTTGGATTTACAGTCACCAAGGAGTTTGTTAATGTGCCCTTACTGTCTTGCAAGGATTGTGTGGACGTGGGCAACTTTAGGACGCTGTGTAATACATTTAAAGTATAAAGGCTGTTGCTGGTATTGCCCTGACTGTATAACCAAAGTCATTGAGGCTATGGCAGATCATAAGGGAAAGAGATACTTAGGAGTTGAAAATAGAAGAAGCTGGAACCTTGTTGGTTGCCAAACTAGGGTCTTTCTGGTTTCATGTACAGTGTTCAAAAAATATGTAAATATTATATGATTTTTTATGTAGATTTTCCTGCTGATTCCAAGTGCAGGTATAAATTTTTTATTCTTTTGCGAAAACTAATATTTTTGTTGGGTTAGGTTTTTCCTTGAAAAGAAAAAAATGAAAAGAACAATGATTATATATTGTATAGTATACTGTAGTATAGTAATGAAACAGATGTTTAAAGAGAAAGTTCAGAAATATTCTTAAAAATTATTTGCTTGAAGAGATCTTCGTTTTCATGCCTGCAACGCCAAACAATCTCACTGATACGACTCAATAATATCAAGATTGGTTGCACAATGCTTTTTGTTTTGACTTTTAACATTATTCCAAGTATACTCTCAATATGCTGAGTATGGACTTTTTGGACTGCAAGTTTTCCCCAAACCACTTCAGATTAATTCATCATACATTTTTATCTGCAACAAAAAACACCATTAAAGCAACATTACAAATTTATAAAAAAAAAGAAGAAAAAAAATGTACATTACAGTGGTCTGTCGCCAACCGTGGGAGTTGGGTTCCTGAAAAACCGTGGTTGGCAAGAAAATATGGTGTTAGGCTCCATGACGACAGATAACACTTGTCAAAGTTGCCTGTTCTTTCACTTAACAATACCTGTATTGTACATTAAGTCAAATACATATAAAATAGCTTAATATAAATTAATTAGTAATATAAATTGTACAGTACACACCTGTAGAGATGGCATGTGGCTATAAAATAAGAAAAATAAAGAGCATGGGTGTGTGTGTGTGGACGTGGCATGTTGCCAAGTTAGATTCTCCCTGTAACTACTAGTGGTTTTGGGTAGAGGTACAGTACATAATTTTATTTATTTATTTTTACAATTGTTACATGCACACCAATCGTTCATACAGAATTTGTACACTCTATATATATATATATATATATATATATATATATATATATATATATATATATATATATATATATATATATATATATATATATATATATATATATATATATATATATATATATATAAATGATTATCATAAGGTCAAAAACATAGACTAAACATATCTTACGTCTGTGGGATCTTTAGTAGATTTTTTTCATTACCGATTCGTTTTGAGAAATGAATAATTTGAATGATGATGATTCATCATTGATGAATAATGAATATAATAAATTTTGTAGGTAAATTATTACTTTAAGCAACCTCTTTCAGTTTATAGGGAGAGTCAAAATTTTCCCCAAGATCAATCTGCTTAAAATAGGTCAGCTTATCTTGAACCTTGCTCATTGGTGTTCATTTGTTGTGATTAAAAGGGGGGATGACTTCTGAGGCTTGTAGAAATGCGCCTCTGAACATAATCGTAACAAAACACTGTACATCTTTTATATTGTTTTAGAAAGCATAATGCTTTTTACAAAATTGGCTTGCTGGGACTGCTGTATTATGTATGACATGACAGGCTGACCCATGACACTAACAACATTATTGTGTCAACCCTTGTGACTTGAAGCAGGTTGACCCCAATGTCGCTAGCTGTCACATCTCAAGAGGGGATGATTGATTATGACCTGAGTTAATAAGTGTTGACTCTGACCTCACTGTCAGGTCTCAGTCAGGGGAGGGGATGTCTGATCCTGCAAGACCTTGTTGGTCTCTTTGATGATGACGACCTGAGCTGACAAGTATTGCTGACTTGTAAAAAGGTTGACCCTATCTGATGTCACTGTCAGGATTAAATTTAAAACTGATTGTTGACCTCAGACTACCCTCTCACTCACAATGAATCTTAAACAGGAAAATGATTATTATTTTTTAATTTGGGAGATTTTAAATTTCTTCAGAATTATATGATTTGTAAGGGGGAGGGGGTGATTGTATAAGAAACCCCCCAACCCGATTATAGTGGGGGATGTATCCCTCTCATCCCCCCACGGATCTACGCTGCTGGCCTTGTTGCAACTTAGAATATCATATTTATTCCCATCAACATGTAGGGTAATACAGTACAGTATATTATATAAGTAATTGGTGGCTGGCTTTGGCTTCGAAGCTGGGGGCTTGGCTTCGGCCCAAAGTCTGCCCAGCTCTATCAAGTCTCAGTCTTCATTATTATAAAATTAAATTAGAAAGAAATGTACTATATTTAGCACATTATTAAATTTTTTATTTGTTTTACTTTATTCTTATCATGAATGATTTATGTCATCTTGAAATTATTTCCATTAGCCTAAAATGTTGCAGGAAGGAGAGGGGATGAGAGAGGGGGGTAAATGAGGTGCCTCCTTTTATACAGCTAATCCTTTTATTCTGAGGCCAAATTACAAACTATATACAGGTACCCTATTTTTTTTTCCTTTTGTTATTGAAGTACAGGTAATATAATGAATCATATGCCATAAGAGGCTGATCATAAGAAAATATGTGGACAGGTACCGACTGTGTTGTCACGATTTAAATCCACAGTCTCTTAAGCTCGGCAAAACTTGACCTTTTCATCAGAAAATTTTATAATTTTGCTCATTTCGTCAGAGCAAAATAGTCTACATGTACATAAAAGCTCCCTGTCATTTAAAGGTTAAATTTACTTAGGATTATGTCTGTTATCCTCGACCCATATTTTTATCCCTATAACATATAAACCCTTACACAAGTCACTTATCCATCTGATAATTTTATATATCACTCCGTCTAAACAAATTATCATCAACTTTCCCTCTTTCTTGCACATAAACCTCTACCAGTAACCATATGCACAATTGTGCATACAGCACCTGACGGATCTAAATCCTCTTTCTCATAAAATTCCTCACTAGTAACTGAACAAATTTTATTCTTTTAAGTTTTATTACATGTATCCACTTTTATATTTTAGACTTTGCCCCAGAGAGGAGGTTACTCAAGAAGGGCTCACCCGTGACTTCTGAGGTTGTGATCTATGATGATCATGGTCGCACTGCCATTTTCACCAGTCCCAAGAAAAAGAAGAAGAAGAATGTGCGAGAGCATAGTAGTTACCCGCGGGCTCCTGATGGAGCCAGAAGGTGGTCAAGAGATGAGTCCAGTAAGTGGTGGGAGGAGAAGGATGAAGGAAGTGGAATGGTTCAAAAGGAAATAGATTTGGGTCGAAGAAGGCAGAGTGAAACTGCAGAACCAAGTGTCAAGAAAAAGAAAAAGAGTAAGTTAAAAGCAGGGAAGAAATTGAGAGAGGATGTGATTGAGTTAGAAAATGATGCTTCTGAAGACTACCAAGTGCACAAGAAGGTGACTCATGACCCTCCACACAGACACAGGAGCCCCAGCAGTACTAATGATAGTGAAACTCTATCCTCTTCTGGTGATGATGATGAGGATGATGATTATCATGATGATAGTTCTTCAAAACCTTTAAGAAGCAGAGGTAAGTAACAAGTAAATATAAAATTAACTAGTCACATGAACAGGTTTGTAGGAGGGAGTAAACATCCTTGTTGGGGTCCAAGGCTTCCAGAATGGGGGAGGGACCATTTGATAAGGATCTGGCCTTTTTAACCCAACAAACATCATGGGTGACCCTTGTTTTAAGTCAGCTGGGGGAAGAACGTGACTCAGCTCAGTTATGGTTGTATACAGAATGCCTGAGGACACAGCATGTGGGAAGAATATCATCTCTGGGGAGTGAGTGTTCTACTATTCAAAAGTATTTGTCTTCACATGAAGTAATTTTTTTTTTATAGACTAGATAATTCCATTCATTGACAGTACACTATATTATATTCATAAAGTTCTCGTATAGCTCATGTTATGTCAAGTAAGTTTGATAAGGATTATTAACCTACTGTATTAGTTCTTTCTCTGTGAAACTGGTAGGGAACATAGGTATGACCTCCCCTCTTTCATTCTTTTTTCCATAATAGTGTTACTGTTACCTAATGTAAAGATGTCATTTATGTTTAACTAAGTGTTAAACTTTAGGGAAAAGGTATACAATACCCTGTACTGCAATACAGTATATGATAGGGTTGCTTTCCTGGAAACCCTGCCGTGAATTGAATTGTATTAATCCACATTACCATTATACATTGGGAGATACAGTCGGGGGAAAAATATCCAGTGCATTATAAAGTGATGCTAATGCAACTTGAATATTTGCATGCATGAAATTTTAAAATGTAGCACAGTACAGTATATATAGCCAACAGTTTGATGATAAACAAAACTAATTTGTTTACTAGTGGACTCAAAGGCATTTTGTCTTCTCTCCTCTTTTAGTTGACAATCTTTCTTCCATTTCTCTTCACCACAATGTTGCTTTACTCTCTCTCTCTCTCTTTTACAGGTACTTTAACAGGCAATGTTCGGTGGATTTGGCATCCTGTGTACCGCAGGCAAGGCCGTGGGCTCATAACACACGTCTTGCCCGCTGTGCCCACCATTTCTCTGTGGATGTCGGTTACACTAGAATAACTCGTTATAGTACATCCTTCTTTCCTCACACAGCCAAACTGTGGAATGCTCTTCCTTCTTCTGTGTTTCCATACTCATACAATGTCTCGCTTTAAAAGCTGGTTTTCCAGCATCTTTGCGGTGTAGATTAATATATCCTTTTCTATTTTTAATTTTTTTCTATTCTTTATTTTTTCGCCCCTAGGCCCCGATGTGGGTCGTTGACCTGTGCCCGAATGGGCTAATCCCTGTAAAAAAAAAGTTGCTAAAGTTGACTGAGATAGTCCTAAAACTTTACTGATGACTTGTAAATTAGCCAGTCTCACTGCTCTTTATCACCTCCAACTTTACAAGTAATGTGATGGCTTTGTGGGTGTCTCTTTTCTACTACAGGAATTATTGCTGGTTGTTTTTGTGACATCTCTTAATTAGGGTAATTCCCTTGGAAAATGCAAGATTTTTGCTGGAGAGTTCTGTTGATGCTAGGAGCTAGATTGGAAAGATGTGGATGACTAGTAAAAAAAAAGTATGGTTTTCTGTAGCCAATCACATTGCTTGGAATATAAATAATATTAATTTTTCTTTAGATATAATGGATGATTTCTATTTACAATACTTTTTAAAGTACTGTGTGTGTGTGTGTATATATATATATATATATATATATATATATATATATATATATATATATATATATATATATATATATATATATATATATATATATATATATATATATATATATATATATATATATATATATAGAGGGCACCAGGTAGCTTGTGGCCTGGAGAGGCAAGGTTGGGGCACTGGTAAGAACTTTATATTAGATGGCATTTACTCAGGAACCTTACTTTTCAGGGAAGGAGAACAAGCGGTCTCACACACTTAGTAAGAGTCACACAAGATCTCCTCCACATTTTGGTACCACAAAACCTACATCACAGAGTTCTTCCAGTAAGCAACAACCAGCACCAGTTCATAAATCACATTCAGAAAAGTCTTCTAGCAAACATGTGTTGCCACAAAAATCCACTCCAGCTAAGAAGAAGAATCTATATAGGAAATCTCCATTGTCACACAGTTGCTATAAATCTTCCAAGGACCTGAAGAAAAGGAAAACATCATCCTTGCAGTCTCAATACCGGTCCCAAGTAAAACCCAGTAAGACTAGTGTGAAAAGAAGTCACAAGATAGATGATCTGACATCAATGCTTAAACTTAATCAACCCTCCAAAGGGAAAACTCATGACATTGCTTTGATGAAGGGCCAGAAACAGCCTCCACCAGGTAGCTTGGGAGAAATGCTGTTGAAAAAAACAATGAAGGGCAAGCTTAAAGTACGTCCAGAGGCTGGGGAGTCAGGTGGACTGAAAGTGATTAAGGAGAATGTAGATACTAAGTCAATGGAGGAAAATAAGGGTGTATCGGTACCTGTGGAAGACGTGTCGCCAGAAATTGTAGTGCAGGAATGTTACACTCTGGACCAGGAGGATGAAGATGAGTTGCAACTAAGGCTCATTGCCCTTCAGTCGTCCCTCAAGGTTCTTAGTGGTGTGAGGAAAGAAGGTCAGCTGGAAATGATGGCAAGTGGGTCCTCATTAACTGAAAAATCCTCTCTCTTACAGGAGAATATACAAGGAAGAGGAGAAGGATTTGATCAAGAGTGCATTAGCCTGTTGCAATCAAGTGGAGATAAGTTTCCCTTTAGTAGTACTTTAGATAATAGTGCACAGCAGCAAAAGTGGAATGAGTCATCTCAAAATGTAACTGAAATTTTGGATTATTTGAATAAAATACAAAATGCTGAGAAAAGAAACTTTGGATCAGAGGATAACAGCTTGGGAGACGTTGAAGTTTCATTAGATGACTCGAGCCAGAGTTCTGTGAGGTCACTTACGACAACATCAGAGATTGTGATGGAATTTATAGATACAAACAAAAGCTATATGGATGTCCAAGAGAGCAATGGTCATCTGATTGGCAATACAGAAGAACTGCAGAACGAAGTTAAAGAATTGTCAGACTGTAACCAGGATCCAGTTGACATGGATATTTGTGACAGTTCACCAGGAGAGGAGGAAGATGAGGACACATTAGATGAAGAAATCATACAAAAGGTGAAAGAGAGGGTCTGTTACAGTGTGGGAAGCCCTATGGACACTGGAACAGCAGCCATAAAAGATTTTTTAAATAGCTGTTCAAATGATATAAAAGAGAACACTAGTCGTGGGTCGGAAATGCCACCACAAATTCCAGTTGAATGGGCCTATATGATGCCACCTCCCCCACCACCTGATCAGCCAGCCAATGATCTCAGTAACATAAACAATTGGTGCTACGATCAAAATATGTATCTTCAAACTATGCAAGCCCAATACGAGTCTAATAACTCTCAGTACAGCCACTATGCTCTGCAGGAAACAAGCAGTGTAGACTGGACAGGGGGGCAGCAGTCTCAAAGTCCACAGTGGAATTGCTCTGTTAATGAGGATCATCATACTGACTTGACAGTAAGTGAAGGTGTGGCACCTCCCTTGCCTTCAACTTCTCAAGAGTTTGATACAAATGATATCACTAAAGTAGAGAGTTTTGGTGTGACCTCTGATGTGTCGGAAACCCAGAGGGACCTGAAAGACCTGCCAGCAGAGCAATACCAAGCCTTCATGTCAGTAGTGCTGAAGCAACAAACTGCGCAACCTAAACGCACCACCACAAATGATGTCCTTCAGAGGAACTTGATTGAAGTTCCATTAATAAAAGATGTTGGTAATTGTTTAAATCATTTAGGCGATACTCGGCATCTCACAGCCGTAAAACAGGCTAGTGCACACCAAGGAAACAATATCCTGGTTACTAAGAGGAGTGAGGCAAAGAGAAGGAAAAGAATAAAGACGAAGATAAAAAAAAAATTGATAAAAAAAACAAAAAATAAAGCTGCAGTAGCTAGAGAGTTGAAACAAGTGACTGAGGAAGTTAATAACAAACAAAAGGTGGTAAAACAAACCAAAAAAGCTGCTGTAGCTAGAGAGTTGAGATCAGTGACTAAGGAAGTTAATAACGAACAAATGGTGGAGTCTGTCCCGGAAGATGATGACGAAGATCTGTTGCGTGCTATTCTGCTGATTGATATGACAAGAAAGAAACAGCAGAAGGAGGTAGTGTCATCAGTGGAACAAGTACCAATTACTGCAGAGGCTAGCAAGTTCACAGGAATCCAGAAAAATGTGGATAAGCAGTTTGCTGGTGGAGTTAAGAAAAAAGGTGGTAGTTCACGTCTGCACAGCTTGCCTTTGTCATCAGATTCATCCCCGGTAGCCAAAATTCACTCTAATCGAACAGCATTGTTAAAGAAAGTGCACAAGCAACCTTCTAGGGTTAAGGAAGGTAGCCCAACACACAAGTTCATGGTGGATATGCGACCAAGGCTATCTGACATTGGTGGTTTTGGTTTAGATCCAAAAAGTAGCCGGTATGATTATCCTATTCCTCTTGACCATCCCACCCACAACGATGCGCCAAAGTTTAAATTTCCACTCGTTAAGCCAGTTATTATCAACTTAAACTCTGATTCTGAGGATGAAACGGAAGAAAGCAAAGTGATGAACCACCCGAGTAGCCAAGGCCCCAAGAAAGAAGCTGTGCCGGAAGCCACTACTAGTGGAACATTTAGTTCCAGCATTGATCTTCTTTTAAAAAGCATGCGCAATGCTAAGCCCTTTGTTGAAGATGGCAAAGACATTCAGGAGAAACCAGGACCATCTAGTAAAAGTTCACCCAGTAATCCATTGTTGAAGAGGTCAACAGTTGCTCACAAAGACTCAACTTCAAATGTAAGCTATTATCTTTGTTTTTAGTCATGCTTGACTGGTTTTTTGCCTCGGGTTTTATGTCAAGTTTAAATGCATTTGTGACCCATTAGCAGCACCTCAGTACACAGACAAGCCCTATTCATTTGCACATGTAAATAATTATATCTAACTTACTGTTTTATCCCATGGAGTTACAGATCACTGTATTCTTCATTAATTTACTTTTTATTTCCATTTTACCATTCTCATGTTAGATTATACCTACCACTGGGTTGTAACTGGATTGAAAAATGATTTAGTATAACTGATCATTATACTATCATGGATTTATATACTGTACTTTAATTTACAATAATTTTTGTTTCACAGGTTGTTCGGCACTTGAGTCGAACTCAACAGGAAGAATACCGGTGGCTAAAGGAGCAGCTGAGACAGAAAGAATTACTCCATAAAAGAAGACAGTTGCAACAACAGAAACCACCCAATGCCAGGAGGACAATATCAGTTGTATCTGGCATCAACCAATCTACCTTTATTGGTGCTGAGAATGCTGGTGAAAGCATCAGATCTCCCAGTTCAGGAGTTGCTAATGCTAGTCATGGGTTTAGTAAATTTAGTGAAAGTCCTCCAAAGTCAGATGTTGGAGCATTATCTGCTGCAAGTGGTAGTGGAGGATTGACCTGCTCTAGAGAAGTGTGCTTGAAAGAAATGGGAAGGTTGCAGATTCAGCTATCAAATGTTGCTACTTGTAATGACAGTAGTCTTAAAGCCAAAATTGATGATTCTGGTGAGAAAAGGAAAGATGAACAACAGTGTGAACTGAAAGATGCTGCTGAAACAGGCGAGTCATTCCAACAGATGTCAATGACAGAGGATGAAGATGAGGCGACTCTGAGGATGATGGTGCTGCAGACTCTGCAGCAAAAGAAGTTATCAGGAAGAAAAACTTCTCATGACGATTTCCCCCAAAATGTAGTAACTCCCAGTGATAAGTATGTTGCAGAAGAGAGTCCGTCTGATTCTACACTGAAATTGGTCATTCGTCAGGAGATTGATGACAACACTGCAAGTAAAGCAATAGAAGAAAGAGAAAATCCACCACCTAGACTGCAAAGTAATAGACGCAAGGTGATTATTGAAGATGATGTTGATGAGACTAAGAACACTGGTAAACACAGGTGTAACAATCATGAGGAACAACAACTGGATGAAGAAATGGTTGGAGAATGGATGGTGTTGGATGAGGTAATTGGGGAGGAGAATGAAGGGAATGTTGGTGGTCACAGTAGTGACAAGGAGAATGAACAGTCTCTTAAGCTTGATAGTGCAACAAACAAGCCAGAGAATGACAAAGGGGACAAGATTAAGAATGTTTTAGATTGTTCCTTGACTACTGAAAACTTAGGTTGTACATCAGTCAGAACCAGAGCTGGAAAGGCATCATATAAGTCAGGTGATTATGAACAAAACCTGGAAGAAAACCGTGTTGATGATAAAGTCAGTGTGCAATTTGGAGACCAATCAGCAGAAGCTTTTCATCAAGGTAATGATGACTTAGCAGAAGAATTTGTCCGTATGAAAGATAATTGTGTCACGAAGATGCAAAGGGAAAATATTAAATTAAATGGTCAGACAGTAGATATGGAAGAGACACTGTGTAGTGGAGGTAAAAGTAATGTGATAGTACCCCCAAGTAATTCCTCAATTGAAAAGGAAGAGACCCAGAGACAAGATGGTATAAAGCTCTCAGATGAGGAAGGTAAAGACTCTAGTTTAACAGAGGAGTCCACCATGAGAAATGTTAAGTGCTCCATGAGCGATGAACAGTGTAGCGTGCATTCTGAAGATGATGTTCAAGGGACAAAACCGGCAGTAAGTATTTTTACTGAATCGAAAACTTGTAAGGATAGCGAACCTGTTAATGGTAAGGAGAAAGATCAATCTTTAGCAAAATCTGGCCAACATCTGCTGCTTGTACCTCCCTTAGAAAAGCCACAACTGTTAGTGTCAGAAATATTAAGTAAACAAGGACAAGAGGAGGCAATGAATACAAAGGATTCCAAAATGAACCCAAATTCAGAGGAAATTAGAGACATTATTCAGAAAGCAAGCCAGTCAGAACAAGGACTTGTTAGGGATAAGATTGATGTGCAGGAATCCATCCCAAAGAAATTTATGACAAAACCCAAGGAACAGGAGAAAGGTTTGACAGGGGAAGCTCTAAGCACAAGCCTCACAAGAGCAACCAAAATTAATGTATTGCAAAGGACAGAACCAAATATTAAAGCTGAAATCAATGCCTTGGTAAAAATGGTTCAAGGAAAACAATGCAATCAGGTGAATAATTCTAAACCTGCCAAGACCAAGAGACTTCTGCTTTTAAAGAGATTTGAACGTGAATACATTGAGAAGAGGTAAGACTATATCATGTTCTTTAATATTAAATAATAATATTTAGGAATTTATTTTGGAAGTCAAGCCTCTAATTGCAGTAAAAATAATGGTCACCTACCAATTCCAGGGATCTCTTGTGTAGCTGAGTGTTGACATACTAACATGTTTCATAGCTTGGCTGGCCTTCACCATTCTAGGATTCATAATGTTCTTGATACTTTAGGCATAGAGAGGACATAAACCCGGGTTACCCTCATTGGCAGGCTTGGCTTGAATAAAGTGATAACCCAGCTGGGACCCCTGGTAGAAGAGGTAACAGTGGAGGAGCAGCAGAGGCAGTCACTTAGGAAGACCATGATGCAGATGCGTGCACAGCTGAAGGCGATGGAAATGCAGCATGAGGCAAGCTTATAAACAAATATTTTGTTACCGGTGTTTATAGCTAGTGATGTATAATTGAAGTTTATTTCCCCCCGTCCCTCGCTTTTTCCACTTATCTGGCAACTTGTACATACTGTAGAGCTGCAGTTGAAATTTTGTTGGCCCAAAAATTTTTTTTTGCGATAAAGTTTCTAAATTTAAATTGTCTTAGTACAGTACTGATGTAACTAACAAAGTGAAAATATTGGTTACTTGTACCATACTTCAGGGAAATTGTTCTTGTTTTACAAATTGCATTAAATGTGATTTTTTTTTATTTATTTATTTATTTGGTCACATCTAGAGAGAAAGTGTCTGGTGGTTAGCAAAATGATTTAGTAAGATCTTACTATCTTTTCTTAGTAAAGCAAGATGGCAGTGCACCTGCCAGCATTTAACTACAGTAGAAGGAGAGTTACAGCACAAAGCTCAATGATTTGTTCAAATATTGTTAACATTAATATCACAGAATGGTAAAATAGTGTTTTGGTAGTTTTAACAAATTGAATTACATGTTTGAATAACATAATAAAAAAAATATGTTGGCAGCTTACACATTGTCATCTCCTGTATAATGCATACTGTAAGAGCATATAAATTTCCAGACAAAATCCAATGCATTAAAGACCAAGATGGCACACATAAGAGAGCTGCAGACACAGTTAACAAGTGACCGGCAGGCAATAAGTGAATTGAAACACAAGGCTGAGCTACTGGGTCGGCAGGTATGTAATGCTAGCTCTTATTTCTCTCGTGGCTTACTCTATTATTCAGCTTTATTACTATCATCCTGATTGACTGACAGACAGAACTGTGTGACCAGTGCTTACTCACATAGTCTTTGTATATGTTTTGATGGTTACTCATTAATACTGAATACAAAATTTTATTTAATTTCTACTTTTTTATTACTTGCAATTGAATTGCTATTTGTAGGACTGTTATCCATAGAGACACAAGAAATAATTAGAATGTAAAAGAAATGTGATAGAACAGCCTGGTAGCTTTGACATTGCCATTCTCTCAGACGAAAGGAGTGAAAGGCATAACAGATAAGAAGTAAGTCTCTTGAGCTTTTCATCCCATGAATCATTGTGCGAATTAATTTCAAGTTTGATGAGTGTTTTTGTGCTTTGCTACATGGGGTGAATTTGCGTGAGTACCCTGGTAGTGATATAGATTATAGCACTATACAATAATTGTAGTACAGTCAAACATAACATTCCAAATTCCTTGGGATCAAGCAGTTTGAAGTCTAGAAAAAATTGAATACCATTAGAAACCTAAACATCCATGGTCTTTTTATTCACAATTTAAATGTAATAATTCTACACAAGTTGCCTAAAATCCTATTATTTCCTTAATTCTTGAAATACTGTGGAAAGGTGAAGTCATTGTTTGCCTTTAAACCTCATTATATGTAATATTTACAAAAGCAGCAATACAGTACTGTACATTCAAAAGAAATTATACCCTTGCACGACCAGGTCAAGTGGGGAAATTAATGAGCCTGATGGTAATGTATGTTTATTTTTCAACTTGTAATTTCAGGAGGTTGGAGCTGTCTCTCCTGTGTAGGGAAACGAATAAAAAATAGTATGACATCCAGCAGCAAGAGTTCTAAATATAATATTTACAAAAGCAGAAATACAATAGCAGTACATTAAAAAATATACCCTATACAGTACAGGGGGTCCCTGGGTTACCAACGGGTTCCGTTCCTGAGGACGTTCTTGAGTCGTATTTGTACGTAAGTCAGAACACATGCTATGTGCGTTCCATACTTGCAGAACAATGTTTAAAATCCCACTATATCATAGCCTAAGTCCTTATATAATGGTACATCTAAAATCACTTAATTTAAGACAAAGAAGAAATAGAATGACAAAATACAGTGGTCCCTCAATTAAAGAACGGTTCATTTAACAAAATTTTGGTTCACGAATTAGCTCCCATAAGGATTTTCAGCTCCATTAACAAACAAAACTTCGATTAACGAAAGCCTTAGGAGAAACACGCTGTGTTGTGGGCATCAGCTGATCGGCTAGTCCGCCAATACAGTAATTGGTTCTATGTTTACATATGTTTCCAGTGGAGTATATATCAAGAAAGTTGTGTTCCAAAATATTTTTGCATTTTTACATAACATTTTTCAACTAATATTTTTGGCTCGATATACGTAACCTTATTAATTTACTTTTACTCATTTACGTGCACATACTATCCTAAGGGCAAAGCTGTACTTTACATGTACTCAAAATAATGTACTAAACGATTACTAAGATTTTTGTCTAGTGTAAACTATAGCATGTTTATATTCAAATTGATCACGATCTTATAAGAATTCCAGCAATGTAAATTATATTCTCCCCGGTCACTTCTGTGACATTTTATAAGCAAAAAACAAAAACTCAATCGAAAGGACATAAATAAACAAATAAATACTTACTAGACCTTTGGTGCCAACTGTCAAACATGTCACCTCCCCTATCTTCCCAGCCAGGGTTTGGTGGTTTTAGGCTTAAAGTATTTATCTTATATAATATCACAGACTTTAGTTAAGAGAATATAATTTGCATTGCTGGAATCCTTGCAAGACAGTGAATACTGAATACCTATAATTTGAATCGAGACATCATATATTTTGCACGAGATAAAACTTTGAGTACATTAGTTTAGTACATTTTAATAATGTACAAGTTTTTCAACTGTTTTTTGGTAGATTTACATAAATTTCTTTATTTATTTTTATTAATTTACATGCACACACCATACTAAAAGAAACGTAAAAGAAATAAATGACCTAAGTGCAAACCTGCACTGTACATGTACTAAATGATTACGGTACTAAAATTTTTATATCTAGTGCAAATTTTAGCTTGTTTATACTCAAATTAATCACTATCTTACAAGGATCCCAGCAATGAAATTATATTCTCCCTGGTCGTTTCAGTGGTATTTTATAAAAGAAAAACTTGGTTACTCTTAAGGACTGATAAATAAACACGTATTAGACCTTCGGCGCCAACTGTCAAACATATCACCTCCCCCCCACTCTCCCCTATCTGCCCAGTCAGGGTTTCAGGCTTAAGGTTTTTATCTTATTTAATATCACAGACTAAAGTTAGGAGAATATAATTTGCATTGCTGGAATCCTTGCAAGACAGCGAATAATTTGAATATAAACGTAATATTTTGTATCAGAGATAAAAATTAATCGCCTGTATCACATTACAGTAGTGATTTAAGAGTTGTAGTGTATATGTAAGTACATATAGAGTGATTTAAGGGCAACTTAGGGGATTTTTAGGAGTGTTTCTGACTTCATTTTTTGGCAGCTACCCCAGGAGCTGAAGGAATGGAAAACATTCATTAAATTATTGAATTTCTTCCACATAATTATTACGTATCGTACACCCCAAATTTAATGTCTATTTTTCCAAGCAATAAACATTAAGTTTCATAAAACACAGTTTCATAACAAACTCACCTAATGGGGATAATGGACGGAACAGTGGGGTGATTTTCTTCTGTTGCTGGGCCATATCCATCTGATCTAGCAGCTGAGAGTACGTAGATGCAGCCCGATTCAACGCCTCCACCACTTGCATACTGCGTTCAATATCAGGGTCATATTGCAGTGCAGACTGGGTGGCAGAAGTGACGTGCTGCATGAACTTCCTCAGCTTAGGAATTGTCAGTTCCTTTCTCGCTGTTTGGGGCTTATCTTTTGCTTCCTCGTGTTTTTTCGCCATCTCCACCATCTCAAAGAATTAATCAGAAGTGAGAGGAACCTCCATGCTGATGAGCAGTTCAGTCACATCTTCTTGGATATCTTGAAATCCTGAATCACCTCTCACTTCCTTAACGAGCTTCAGAATGTGTTTCACGTCCTCGCCTTCATCAAAGCCCTTGAAATCATGGACTACCTGAGGCCACAGATTAGCCACTCCATTTAGTGCAGTTTCTGGCACACTTTTCCACGTAAGTGTGATGTTAGCTATGGTATCTTTGATGGTGTAGCTCTTCCAAAACATTAGTGCAGTCATATTGTTGTTCTTGTTCATATCTTCAGCCATTTGCTTCATGGTAAACTTGAGATAAAATCTCTTGGACAAGGCAATAACACTTGATTTAGTGGCTGAATAAGTGAAGTCACATTTGGAGGGAAGGTGGCCAAGTTTTCGTCCTTATTCACACTGCACAAGTGTTTGGAGTGGCAAGATTCGTTGTCCGTGAGAACCAAGGCCTTGTTGCTAAGGTTCAGTTTTTTGTTAAAATTTTCGATGAATGGGGTGGCATGGCTGATGTACGAATCATCGAAAATATCAGAAGTCATCAACGCTCTCTGACAGTCCAAAGTGGTGCCCCACACTTGAAGCACCATTTCCACGCTGCAGTGCTTCCAGCACCTTGATTTTCTGCTCCAGTGTAATTGCATGCCTTGATTTCTTGGTCTTTGGGGTAGTAAATGATGTAGAAGCTGGCCTCTTGGTTGATGCACGTGGTAGAAGGAGATAGAGCGTCAACGCGAGAACTGAGGATGTGGGAGGGTGTGGGAGGGTGGCAGGCAGCTGTGTAGCGTGCCCAGATATGTGTCTGGTGGGAAACATTAGGCGAAAATTTTAAAATAGGTCGTGCCAGATTGGCTCGCGCAAAATAGGAAAGATTTGCTTTAAATTAAAACATTGTCCTTAATTGTGGGTGTCGCTTTAAATCAATATTTCTAAATTGAATCGCTTTAAATCAACGTTCTATTTTAATTTAATCAGGATTATATTAAATTCATAGTGAAATGAGCAGAAATTACAGATGGTATAAAAAAAGATACCAGGTCTGTTTGGTAGGGATGATTTATGCTTTGTTTAAAACTTTAAAACTGGGGGTAGAGTGGAAATTTTGAATTACTGAAGCCAAGATTGTACTTGAACTGAATGAGCTAGATTTAAAATTTTCTCTTTAATCTGCAAATTGCATTAAAATAAACACTTACATGTTTGTCTGTGGAAGCCAGTATCACAAGCAAGGTCGTATTTATCTTAAGAAACCCAATCACCACCCTGCTTTCCCATAATGCTTGGACATCACTGCTTCTGTTAATTCATGCACTCCATCATGATATATACTTCACTAATGTATTGTCCAATATTAAGGTAAATATGAATGATTACTGCAGGAAGTGATAACTAGAAGGCATCTTCAAGTATCATTCTCTCATAGCAGCCTCCTTTGATTATAAGACAATGATTAACACTCATATAGCCTCAGATATTACACCTCAAAATTTTCAGTTTCAAAGGTACAGCACCAGCAGCAATGTTAAAGGAAGTATGATTACTCTCAATTACTAATATTATTACCCAACATATGGTTCATTACAGGAAGTTGGAATTAGCTACATTCTGCCCAAAGTCCAGGACTCCCCACATTCCAAAACTAAAGATAAGTTTAAAAAGAAGTTACTGGCCAGCAACATCGATGCTCTTCGCCAACAGATGCGCGAAGTGTCAAACAGGAGCCGAGGCAGACTTCAAGTAGCTTTCCATAATGCAGATAACCAGGGAACCATTGGAAGAGGCAAAACACCTCAAGCAGATGGTGAGAACGTTGGGAAAGGGTTTAACCTGAGACAAGAAACAGGTCCATGGAATCAACCTCTAGGCAGCCATGTTATTGCCACTAAAGGTAATGTTAAAACTGCTGTAAAAAATCTGTTCCAGGTCAGAATTAATGAAGACAAATTGATTCCGAGCGTTTCAAAAGGAATCTCAAGCAAAACAACGAGTAAAGGTCCCTTGGTTGATGTTGCATCACTCAGAAACAAAAATAACTTAAAACATAAATTAGATCCATCTAGTGACTGGGAAGTGACAAAAGCTGCCAAGATTCAAGATGGAGGAGACAACAACAACATTTTCCAGCAGAGAACACCGGAAAGTGACTCTACTACTGCCGTTGGTCAGCGCCAGCAGAACGAACAAGCTGCCTCCAAAGTTAAAACAGCATGTGAAATAGAAGAGTGAGTTTTCCTAGTTAAATTTTGAAACTGTATACACATTTAATAATAACCAGTTTAAAGTAGTGTTGGGAGGGGATTTGAATACCAAGTACAGTAATGTCAAATATTGTTTAGGGGAACTAAGAACTTCCAATTAAACGTCACTACATTTTATCCCTCACATGCTAATAGTAAAGTCCGTGTTGTCATCCGTACCTTGTGTGTGTGTGAACATATTATCCCAGTCCTTGTCAAAATGTCTTAAAATTTGGGAGAAAAATAATATATAACATGGAGGGTATCGTCATTACTACTAGGATGTTTTATTTTGGTGATTAAGGGATAAAGGTCAAGATCACTTGCCAGCAATTGGGTAAGGGTTCCACTGTAAGTTTCCCGCTCACACACACTTTTTAGGAAGGAAAAAATTTATATTACATGATAACCATTCATCTGTCTCATTAATATTTAATCCTTATTACGTTGAATATTTTTTATATATACAGTAGTTGGACATTGTACAGTTTGTTCCCGTACAAGTTTTTGTTTATTGCATCACATTTTTCAGTTAGACAGCTCCCTAACATGGGATAATTAACCTGAAGAATTATAACTTTTCTTTAGGATAGTTATTATCTTTCTGGAGAGCTCTTGAGGCATAGATTCTTGGGAATAGATTTTCTGCTGTCGCAATATTACTCATTTACACACTTACTCCTTCCCAAAACATTATCTTTTGGCTCCTGTTGTAACATCTGCTTATGAAGGGTTGTCTGTAAAAGCCAATTTCCAGTTGAAATGTTCAGTTTGACTTAGAAGTGTGGAATATAGCCATAAAACAATGGAGATGAATTTCCCTTTTTGAGAGCATTGTTTTACTCTTGACCATATTGTTAAATGATAATTTAGTTTACATTGTTGAGATTAATTGATATAATATTTTTCTACATGCCACAATCCCAGGGATATTATTCAGGAGTGTTCTCAGAGGTTTCCAACTTGGTGGCTGAGGGGATAATGGTCATCTTGCAGGGGCTGATCCAGGAATTTTCTTAGATGGGGTGCTTACACACAAAAGGCACCTAATGTATGGCAGAAAGTGGACATTGTTACACAGTTTATGTTTTGGGTAGAAGGAAAATCCCTAAGTAAATCACCGAGGCCAGGAACTTCTGGAGGGCTTTGCCTCTCGGTCTTGCCCCCACCCCCTCCTCCTGCCACCCGGATATTGCCCTGGAACCACCAGAGATCTAAATAAACTTTAGGATCTCCAGCTTGATCTGTTGATTTCTATAACTGATTGGGTAAAAAATATTTTACTGACAACCTTGCATTTGCTTATACTGTACAGTACAGTACGCTATACTTCAACAGATGTAAGTATATGTGCTGATACAAATATAACAACAGTATTGATTGGCTTACATACTTTCCTAAACAGTGATGCCACCACCACCACTATCATCAATGTCAGCACATTAGAATAAAAATTATAACATTAAGTAACCATGATACTACAATTGTTATTTTGTCAGGTCTTCCTTTTTGGGCAGCAGTATATGATGATGTATTAGAGCAATAGAGGTAGAATGTAGATTTCAGACTGTTATTCATTTTCCAACCCTTTACTTTTGCCTCACAGATGCTCAGTTGGATATTTAATTCACTTGTAGTTGACAATCCCTTATCTGAAAACCGAAAGTTTTTTAGTGGAGCAAAACAATTTTATTTATTTTTTATTTTTTTTACAGGGATTAGCCCAACCGAACACAGGTCACTGGCCCACATCGGGGCTTGGGGGCAAAAATGTAATGGTAATAATAATAATAATAGTTCGTACGTAGTAAATAAAATTTATAATAAAAGTACACAAAAATAAAATAATAATGATAACAATAATAATAAAATAATAATAATAAAGACACACAAGAATGAAAAAAAGTTCAAAAGTGAGAAACACGACCTAGATCTATGAATTATTATTATTATTATTATTATTATTGTTATTATTATTATTACTACATTTTAGCCCCCCAGGCCCCAATGTGGGTTGGTGACCTGTGCACGGGTGATCTAATCCCCTGTAAAAAAAAAAAAAATCCTAACCCAACCATTCTGAAATCCGAAACACAGCCAGCCCCAAGGATTTCGGATAAGGGATTGTGGACCTGTAATTACTTTGACTGATACAGTATGATTTAGAATTTGCATGGTTTTTATTTTATTTAAATACAGTAACATGTGCTAGTTTTTGTGATAACTTTGGAGTTTCAAACTATATTAGGGTTCTCTTTGATTACTTAAAACATGGAAGGTTGCCACATAATAATAATAGCTGCCCATCGTGTTTACAAATTCATCCTGTTATATTAAGATGTTACTAAGTGTAAAGAAGTTATACTACAAATTTGAAGGCTTGGCATAACTAGTATTCTTACCTGTTAATTAGATGCTATTTTAGTTCTTTTTATTTAACTGTACAGTAAAACCTTGATTAACCGTCAATGCCGAACCCCTAAAAAATTTTTTTTTTTTTACGGGGATTAGCCCACCCAGGCACAGGTCACTGACCCACATCGGGGCCTGGGGGGCGATAATGTAATAATATTAATAATGATAATGCTAATAATAATAGTAATAAAGAACCCCAAAGAAATGCAAAAATGAAAAAAAATCAAGAGTGAGAAGCAATGTACCTGTATGTATGTTGTGTTGTCAATAGTAAGAGAAACAATTGAGACCCTGCAATTGTGTGTAAATGAGGCAGAAAGTTCAGATGAGCAACCTGGGACTTGGTCACAATTTTTGTGATGACATATGTTCTATGACTTTCCATTTTTTATTCATGGTTTCTGTGCTGGTTCATATATATTTACTAAAGTGTTAAAGCAAATTCTATTGAAATATGAATGGCAAATGAACAAAAATGAATAGAGGGACTTAAATGAGGCCCCTTCCCCCCACATGTGGTTGGTTAATCGAGGTTTTACTGTACCTAACAGATGAAAACAATATTACTTAAACCATTTGTGTTGTAGGAAGGTCACATACCCCATTCATATATTAAAGACAGCATTATTTACAGCACTAACATGCAATTTTAATTTGTGGAGAACCCTTATATACTTATGTGTTTTAGATTTTTGTTAGAATTGTTTACACTTTATTAATATTGAGGTTCTACTTTTATCATTCTTTTAATGTCTTGATTCTCATACAATGCAGTGGAGAGAAGCTTGATGAGATGAATGAGCTGTGTCCCTACGATTTGCTGGGCCGCTGCAATGATGACTCCTGCACATACCAGCACTTTGCTCAGCCCAGGAATGGATCCCGCAGTATGATGAAACCTGCAGCAAGTCTTACAGCTAAGGCTGGAGAGCAGAATTTGAGAAGTGGTCCAGAGACAGGGGTAGAGGCAGATGCTGGTGGGACAGGATCAGGACCAAACACTAGGACAGTTAGGATGGGACCAGACACTGGGATGGATAGGGCGGCACCAGACACTGGGACGGATAGGACAGAACCAGACACTGGGATGAATAGGATGGGACTAGGCACTGGGATGGGTAGGACAGAACTAGACTCTGGGTTGGATAGGTTGGGACCAGACACTGGGTTGGTTAGGACGGCACCAAACACTGGGACATATGGGATGGAAACAGACACTGGAACGAATGGGACAGATAGAACGGGACCAAACACAGGTATGGAAGAGATGGAGGCAGTCACTGCTGAGGAGACACCTGACCCCAATCTTCTGCCTGCAGATATTAACAACAGTGGTTCTGGGGGTCCTGTGGGTGATAAATTCATACCTTTGGATTTCAGAATTGAAGATAAATGTGCTCTCTCCAAAGATGATGGAATGAAATCCAGTGTTATACAAAACTCGTATGCAAGTACTTGTAGCACCTTACTTAATATTGTACACACCACCATTGATAAGAATGAGGCTCTGACTATGAGTGGTGTTGTGAATATACACAAGACAGAGAAGAGACCGAGAGCTAGTAAAGAGGATGGTCCATTAAATAATGTTGATAAGAGCATCTCCAGTGAGAAGACAGGTGATGGCATCAACTGCAAGAGAACTAGACTGAGCAGTAGAGAGCACACCACCACCAGTATGTGTGGCACTGCATCACCAATTGTTGGGGAGGAGTTTGGAGTCATAAGCAGTTGTCATAATTTCAGTCAAGAATATAAAATTGTTACCCATGATTTGAACAGCAAAGCATTAATTTGCATTGATAAGCATATAGAGAGTATGATAGGTTTTATTGATAAAATTTCTGAAGTGAGCACAATCAACAAGTTGAATATGGAAACCTCTGCTGATGAAGATAAGGCTGGTCAACACATGAAGACTGAAGATGTATACGTTGGTCAAATGACAGATGATGTAGGAAGTAAATGTATTGAATTAGGTGGTATCACAGCCACTGCAGGTATAGAGACTGTGTTGCAGGGCCAAGTCCAGCAGGATGATTCTCAAGAAATGATTAGCCAGGAAAGTCATAAGCAGGACAGAAAAGGTCAAGAGAATTCAAGTGGTGGAACACTCACACATTACCATAACTTGAACCAAAAAACTCTTACATTGGAGAAGCCACTACATGAACTTAACCAAGATCATCAGCTCCAGTCAGATGAAGCTCATTCAGAAGAAATACTCACTAAAGTAAGTGAAGAGAATGAATCCAAAATTACTAATGCCTCAGTACAAAAAGACACTATGATCAACTGTGCTGCTGAAGATGCAACTCGCACCGGGCGACCAAACACGCGTAAAAAATCCCAAGTTGTCGACAGTGTGGCACTCGGTGAAGCTGTGTCAACCCGATGTCGGAAACCAAAAGTAAGTAGAAGAGAAAACAGAAGAGGCAGATCTAAGACTGTGGCAATGAAGCTTCCCAAAGTTGGTCCAAATGAATGTGTTGAGAATAGTGGTGCAAATCGATGTGGGTTGAAGAGGAAAGCCACACAAAAGAAAAAAAATAATAGACGAGGTTCAGCGAACAGAGGACGGAAAAAGTAGTTAATTATTTGTACTTAGACATACTCAAATATGCATTTAGTTCACATTTGGAAATTAAATTCTCCTGCCAAGTTCGATAAAGAGTAAGTTTTTATATATATATATATATATATATATATATATACTCCAAACTACAACAAATTCCATTAATTTATATTTTTACAAAACTAGGTGATTCAGGAATTCATTTATACCTCTTGTGTTGTGTCAAGTTGTTTGGGCATTAAATATCTAATTTTGTATTTTAGGTAAACATTTCTTTTTGAATGATATTATTAAAATTGAAGTGAGCATAATGTGTGCAAGACAAGGAAGTTATCATTAAAAATTTCTCAGGTTTTCAGGATACACTACAAATGTCACCACCAAAAAATCATTTCTTCATTCTTCAGTAAAGTTGAGCATTAGCATTTTTACTCATTAGAAATTATATATATATATATATATATATATATATATATATATATATATATATATATATATATATATATATATATATATATATATATATATATATATATATATATATATATATATATATATATATATATATATATATATATATATATATATATATATATATATATATACACACACACACATACATACAGTAGAAGTCCAAAAATCCGGACTGCTTGGGGATTGGGTCGGTCCGGATTTTCCGGATTCTCAGGCAGTACTTTTAAAATTCAAATTTAAGGAGGAATAAAGAAGAGATGAACAGGTACATTTTGATAGTTTATTCATTAGCAAATATAGCATGCTTCATTTATCAAAACGAGCAGTTTTGAAGAAAAAGCTGTGAATTCTAGAAATTTATTCTTTGCCTTTTTTATATCATAAATTGTAGACTTTCCAATGTCGTATGTTTCCATTAGAATAGTATTGCTCACACCACGTTCTAGTTTCTTAATTATTTCAAGTTTGTCATTCAATTTCAACGTGTTCTTCTTTCTCTTCACACAACGAAGTTTATCTACTTTAGGAGCCATTATTATGGGCTTGTACAGTACTCTGTAAATGGAAAGAGTAGGATTCAAAATTACATACGTTGTCACAGTTTGGTTGCTCGTTTTAAAGTGGCGACTGCGTGGTCGCTTGTTGACGCTGTGCAGCTGTAGCGCTCATGCATGCGCACATACACACACAAGCCAGCTAAAAAAAATTTAGTTTTCGAAAAGTCCGGATTCTTAGGTGGTCCGGATTTTTTTACTTTTACTCTCTGTGTGTGTGTATATATATATATATATATATATATATATATATATATATATATATATATATATATATATATATATATATATATATATATATATATATATATATATATATATATATATATATATATATATAATTGTTTGTTTCTGTGTATAATAGACATTGTTCAAGTTGTGTTATGAAAGCAATAATGTTGGAATTTGGAGTTTTCAGCTTGTCTGACAGCAGCCACCACCACCACCCAACTGGCTGCCTGGCACTCACGGTAAGACCTATTCCTGTCTTGCTGTTTGGGTGGTTTTAACTTTTTATTATTATGATGGATATTTCTATTTTCATTTATTTTTTATATAGTGAGTGCCATATTTAGCACATCGAATCTGACCTTTGATTTTAGTTTCCTTTTGTTCAATTTGACATAGTCCTTTATTATTTTACTTTATAGCTCTTTACATAACTTTTCCACTGTTTCTTTGCTGGTTTGTATATTATCAGATGTTTCTGGTGTTACTTTTGCAGCACATATGTTAGCAAGACAAACCCACAGTGAGAACTTGTAACATATTCTGGAGAATGATTTCACGTTGTTGGCATGTGAAGATCATTTTATCCCCTCACAAGGCAGATAAATGGCAGGCATCATGTGTATGTGTGCTTGTGCAATTACTCAAACAATGTTGTCTATGTTAATCATACATAGTATATAGACATATTACAACAGGATTTCAGTCTTTACCATCTTTGTTGACCGAAGTTGTGGCCAATTTCAGTTTAGTGGAATAGTGAATGGGGCCACATAGGAGCAGATGTTTGTTTGCTTCAGATTAGAAGCCCAGTGTCTAATCAAGAATTGGCTTGGATTTTGGTGTTGTTTAATCCTGGAATGTCTCTTATTTCCAAAGGATATTCAAAGAAGTCATTTCCTTAACTTTCTTGGGGTATTATGTCCAAAGGATATCAGGATAATACCATCTGCCTCATTTTATATTTAGAACACACCACTTCACCATTGCATACTGTATTTTGTTGTTTCGGGATGTTATTGCCCCATGAGGGATGCATTAGGGGCAACACTCGACCCAGGCAGCGTAGGGTTTGTTCTCTTTCGTGGTGAAATGATCCCCTTATAAAGGTCAATGATGGACATCACAGTCAAGACTCATCTGGACAATAGATTGATATTTCAACTTGCTTTTTATCTGACTTAGTTATATTCAGAAATTTGGTGCTTATTGACACATAAATAGGACATTGTTTCAGTTGACTTAGTGATTGATTTGCTAAATTTATTATTATGGCCAATTAAAAAGTTGTCCATGAAGTGACGATTACTTTTGAATTTTGTCACATTTTAATGATGCCGGTTAGTGTGTGCTTGACTGCTGCCTCAGATACCTGTATTCTTTTTTATTGGTACTTTGAGGTATATAGTCATGAGGGGGCAGATCATACACATCCACGATGGTATAAGCTATTGTAACTAAACGGGTTATCTCTGGGTATATACCATCTACAAATTTACGATATTGTGGTATGTTAAAGTCTGGTGTTAATTAGGAACTTCAGTTTGTGTGTTTTACAAAACTGTATTTTCTTGGTGATTTAAGTTTGTTTGGAAAATATAATTCAGGGGTGCAGTGGTTGAGTGGATACAGCACTGCCTCCTGTCATAGAGGTCACGGTTTGATCCTGGAGCTTTCTCGATCCACCCACCTTAAATGAGTACAGAGTTGGGGAAGAGAAGATGGTTGAGCGCAGTGCCAGCCGTGGTGCCTCTTTGTATACTAAAGGCTTGGTATATAATGTGCTTTATCCATGCTCTGTCTAATGCCTGTGAGGCCCATTTTCACAATTTTACTCATAAGAAATTACAGGTCAGGTTACATTTGAGTTACAGCTAGTATTTGGTTTGTGGTGTTAGCTGTCATACTCCAGTAGGTTAAACTTTGTTAGGCAGTTTGAGATTGGTTAGAGTGTGGAAATATTTATGGTGTTTTGCTCCACAAGATAGAACATGGACATTGTAATACTCCATATTGTGGGGTGCCTTAAGATTATTAGTATGTGGTATGTGTTAATTACTTGTATGAATTTACTTTTATTACAATGGAAAATCGCCAGATTATGAAATGCAGTAATTTCTCCGTTAGCTGGAATCTTCGAAGCCTGGAACTCTCCTATAGCCCCCACCCTCTTTTATTTATATTTTTTGAGCATTCTGGAAAATATATCTCCATTTTGGGCATGGGAACAAATTTTTGAGAGATTACATCATGCTTTCGATGCATGCTGGGCATGTGGGTGGGTTAGCTCAGAGTGCTCGTAAGCTATGATTGGCCATTAATATCATGTGACTGCATGGGATGCCAATGATGGCTGTTGTATTTCACAGCCTATCTCAGACTCTTGCATCATGGCACTCTTAGTTCACTGTCTTCTGCCATTGTACATTATGCTGTAAGCTTGTTCACTCTCTTACTGCTGTTTTTGCATATGATCTGTGTACTGTATTAGTACAGTACATTACTGTGCCAGCATATAATTACGTATCCTAAAATGCCGTTATAGCAGTGTTAGAGGTAAAAAGTGATTACAGTTATGTATACTGTTCCATTACTGGACCCTATCTGTAAACCAAAAATGACCCTTCCATAAGGTAAATATGTATTTTACCCTATACTGAATCACAGGTGGCATCTCACAAGGGGATGAGCTTAGCCACCTTATGCATAATCCTTAGCAAATAGTGTTGTTATGCCATACTAGTTACCCTCTGTAATAATAGAAACTGGGTGTTCTGTAACCCAGGGAGTGTGTGTACTGTACATAGCAGTGGACAGTGTATGCGAGTGTGCGTAGGGTGTATGTACAGTATGTGTACAATACCTCCTTCATGGAGGGAGAAGAGAATTACATTGAGCAACACCTGCTTACAGTAAATGGTACAGGACAAAGGCAGGCCATCCTGTTTCATCTTATCACCATTTGACCTGCCTGCATTGCAAGCTCAAAATGACAGCATTTGCTGAGGAGTATAGTGTATGCAGTAGCATATTTTGTTTACAATATATTGCACGTGTACAGTGGTGTTTGTGTAAATAAATACAGTATAGATTTGTGTGTGTCCGTGCGAGAGGCCTAGTTTAGACTCAAAAACTTCTCCAGTACAGTACCAGGAAAAATTCTGGGGATGAAAAAATTTGTTTCCATATCCGGAAATCTCTCGATCCTGCAGTGATTATTCTGGCTAACGGGGATATCACTGTACTGTACTTCTATCCTTAATTATTAATGTATGGTTAATCCCTATAAATGATATTCTAGTGCCAGTTTGTGAATTGTATTGCTTTTTATTAAAAAAAAATTCTTGTACTTACATCATGACTACACACACATTCAGTAACTTTTTTATTCAGAAATATAAGTAAGAGTGTAAAGAACATTAAGGCATCTGATCATAACATGTTGAGAATTATTAAGTTTTGTTTAACTAATCAGTACAATAGTAATTCCCATGTGATGATACTACAAATAATGTTCTTGTTGTATGGTGGTAAACCTAGCAAATGGAGACAAGCTTTGTGCAGGAAAACCTTACTTACCAGATTTGGAAAGTCCCCAGTAGAGTTCATTGATGCATCATGGCAGTATTAGAATTGTCTTTTGTATTGATGACTGCATGATTGTATGATCTAATTATGATGATGATATTCCATTGTATTTTTTAAATTAAGCATTTGGGTTTTCAAAGTTGGATCACATTTTTTCCCACCCAAATACAGTATCTAGATCATGTTTATTGTCCTTGGGTTTTCCTAATTTAAGAAAAGTCCAGGTCAGAAAACCACTGCCATGCCCTTTGCAAAAGTAATTGAGTTATTTTCAAAAGTAAAAAGAAGTACAATTTTATGACTTTATATTTTCATTAACCTCGGTGAAGAGATTTAACAGCATTTTTTTTTCCGAGGTTGTTTGTATTGTCCTTATACAGTGGTTCCTCGGTTAACGAACACAATTCGTTCCAGAAGGTCGTTCGTTTACCGAAAATTTCGTTAACCGAAACCATTGTTTCAATGGGATTTTGGGTAATTGGTTCCAGCTCACCGAAAATTACATACAAAGTAAAAAAAAATGCAGTAAAGTGCACTTACTTTGAGGTGTGTATGTAGAAGGCTCCTGGTTGATGATGATGATGGGAATTAGAAGTGGGGGTGGAAGAGAAATCACCCCATGCTTGATGCCGTCATTTCACCCATAAAATTTTAAGTTTACTAGGTGTAATTCAAGATTATTTTCTTTAAATAAACACTGCACTGCACCATATATTGTCAATATGTTAAATAAATTACAGAATGACCAATAATTGTACTGTAAAAATGTAAAATACTCTTGAGTTCAAGAGACCCACAAGCAAGATGTTTCCTCCACTGAACAGAGATACAAACTGAGGCCTTGGTGGGTAAGTGAAGTGGCTGATGGGCGCACCAAAAACTAATTCCCTGCACTGCAATTATTTAAATAAGTGTTTAAAATTACTAAAAAAATTAATGTAAAACTTGGAAAATTATTGAATAGTACAACCTTCTTGATATTTACTCCAATTTTAACGAATCTAAGCCCTAGAACCGATTTCAATATTGGCGGACTAATCTTCCAGCTGGTGAGCAAGCCAAAGCATGTCGAAACATTTTCGTAAGAATTTCGTTAACCGAATTTTTTTTCGTTAACCGAAATTAAGAGTCTTATGGAAGGTAATTCGTTAACCGAAATTTCGTTAAACGAGGCGTTCGTTAACCGAGGGACCACTGTACAGTACTATATTGGATTACAAGATGTAGTTAGTATATGAAATGATAGTTGCTCTGACTCACCTGAAATGACCGGTAAATTACTTGTCAGTGGTAAAGTACGCTTGTGATAGGAAGCCAGTAGTACGTAAAACTCTTCAGCAGATATATTACTGAGGAAGAGAGTGAGAGGTGTAGTTGTGGAAGCTGCCGAGTTATTGACACTCGGAGAACTCCACGTTAAGGGTTGGCCTAAAGATGACAGCCTATAACTTGGACAACGGACCTCTTTATCTACTACTGTATCAGCATAGTTGGAGGGAGTAGGGTGTTGATAGTGAGCATAGCCCAATCCACTTGCCCTAAAGTAACTTAAGAATAACTTTAAAGATGCAGATTACAGTAGGTCAAGTTGATTTTAGTTTGTGATTGATTTAGTTAATTCTTTGAGTTCATTGTTGTTATGTTTTACTGAGAGATGAATACAGTATATATATTTCCAGCTGTTTTATGGTGCATTTGAGCCCTTCACTGGACTGGATGGATGGACTGGTGATGGATTAGTCATGTAATTTGTTATTTAGTTTGTGGTTTTAAGTTTGTCTTCATTTGTGAGATTTACCAAGACTTTGTGTGTGCTTCAATGTGTTTAGTTCAATGTCTTTAAGAATTGGTAATTACTTTTCTACAATTAAGGACTAGCAGTAAGAGAATTTATTTTGTCATGGGTGCTGAGCCCTATATTTTTTTTGTGGTCAATTAGATGAACATTAGGCTTTTATTTTTTTTTTCTTCCAGGAAGTTAGTAATCAACAGTGACAGGTTAGTGCCATTCAGGACTGTTTTTCTTACTGTTTTGTACTGAAATATTATTTGAAGTCAGACTTGTAGTCTTACTATTCTAATGCCTTGAGGGGGTTGGCAATGACTGAAGAGTCTCCAGCTAGCGAGTCTTGTTCTCCCTTCCTTCCTTCCTGCCTGCTTGAATCATACTCCTCATGTAATTTGTCTTTTTCATTGTCAGGGATGCCAATTTCACACTTTTCAAGCTCCACATATTCTTTTATTCCTTTCTTACAGGTATGTATTCTGGCTATTTCTCATTCATTGCACTCTCCAGATATCCTGACCACCAGTCATGTTGTCCTCTTCCATCCATTGCCTGTAAAATATTCTATCATAAACCTGTTGTACTGTTCATAGCACATTCACCTCTTTGTACATGTTCCCTCTTCATTCCTTTGTCATGTTGCCCAGCCTTAACTGGCTTGTTGCAACCAAACATTGCCTCACCAACTTCATCTAGCTTTGCTGGACCTGACCTAGTTTAGAGTCCCTGTATAAAGAGAGTAGCAACAACCTGAATTTAATACCAACTTGTTGCCACTGAGCCACCTGTGTTGTAGTGTATTGTTCCTTGATGCACACTTTCTACAAACTTTAGATTACAATAAATTCTCAATAAACTGTACCATAAATCAATATTGTAGAGTAACATTTTAAACAACTTATAAGTTTGCTATTTCCTGTACAGTATTTTAATCAAAATAATTATGATGATAATATAGGAAATAAGGGAAAAAAGAGCAAAAGATAAGACTTAGCCCATTATTGCAGGCAATCATCTAATTCTGTTGTGGATATTATTCATTTTCATATTCTACAATGCCAATTTGCAGGTAAAGGAGGAGGAAGTATCTCTTCAAGTGTTTAACAGTAATTTACACCCATAAAACTTAACCAACACAATAATGATGTAGTGTAGTGGCCTTCCACCCAAGGCAACCGAGCTTATTTTCCCACACTTTTCTTCTTTCGAGATCTGCTGGGAACCTGGGCATCTTAAAACCCTTATCTGACCTATTGCTGCATCCAAATGCGCAACATCCCAACATTATGTATAGAAGGATCACTCATCCATCCATCTAAAACAATAGTCTGATCCTAACTGATGTGCACAGATAGCAATGATATGGTGCCCAGATATCACGTAATCTTATTTTCAAGGACCTTCCATGTTGCTACTCTAGTATGTAGGGACTCTTATCTTAACCTAATCTAGTTTAGTTTGACCTTACCAAAAGCTACCTTAACTTATCCTTCCCAAATGTAGCTGCTCTTGAAAGTGAGTCATATGCATGATAGCATGTTAGGGGGCAGTGCGGATACAGTACCGTGAATGCTAAGCCTTCCACACACAAGGAGGCTCGGTGGCCAGCACTGCACTTGACCGCCTTCAATTCCTCAGCTTTACAATTAGGTGCCTCATTCACAGCTGGGTGGACTGGGGGTGCCCTGGGCGTGAATCATTGACCATTAGGACGGGAGGAGAGTGCTGTATCCACATAGCTGCTTAGCCTAACCTGCCCTGAAACCTCTGCCTTAGCCTAGTGTAGTATAATGTAGCACAACCCAACCCATGAGACTCTACTGTCACTGCTATACCAATATACTGTATCGTCTTTCACGCAAAAAAAATTAACTGCAATATTTTGCTTTTCAATATAAAATGTCATGAATTATATAAAGGGGATAAACAAAATTTAAATTAAGTTCATTTAGGGATTCTAAATTTTCATAATTTTATTTTCAGGTTAAATGAAATTGTTCCATATTTCAAAAACTACCAGATTCACTGTTTACACTTGCAGACATGTTTAGATTTGCCAAAACACAGTGTAGAATTTGTTCACTGGCTGTGATACTGTTTACTGTTGGCATAATTGCTGTCAATATATTTTTAAAAAATTATTGCTGTAACAACACTTGAGCTTGGTTAAATTTTTAAATCATATGTACAAGGAACTTTTAAATATATTTAATTTAATCACTGTGCATAATTTTTAAACTTAAAATTTTACATAATTGCCATTATTCTGTACCTTTTCTTGAATTTTATTCCCCTAACCGAATAATTTTGGGGGTACAGTCATCATGGTATCCAGCCATTCATCTGTCTGTTCATGGACAATTTTATCCTCACAATAACTTCTACTCAGAGCATTTCAGTAAAACTTAATACACAGGACCCTTAATTGGTAGACGAATGAGTAGATTTTGATGTTCACCAGATCAGAGGTTACTAGTCAGTGGGATTGGCCTTTCCACTGATTTCTCAAGTTAATATTATTGTTGTAGATGAAAATGGAATGCTAGTTTTGTTGTCTTTTACTCAAGTGACATTGCCGAGTTACTATACACTTTAAATAACACCAGGTCAGTTGTTATGTAGTCATTGGTTTGAATAAATTAAGTACTTTTTGTGGTTTATATACAGTACAGTACTTTAAATTCTTGTTAGACACTAAGGTTAGTCTTAAATGTTTATATATTTGTTATTAATACAGTTTGCTTACTCTTGTATTGGGATATTTATTGGGGTTGCAGTCAAATATCTTCCAGGCCTACTTGGTCCCAACCTGGGCAGTAAGATTAGGCTTGGGAGGCCTCGTCCTATTTAACCAGTCATCACATACTGACAGGACATTGAATAGATTCAAACTCAGAAACATTATTAAAAGTATTGTATAGGATTAGGTGTAGAGCTAAGGTAGATACCTAATGGTGACAATGTCATAAAGATAATAACATAGCCTTTATGTGAATAGAAGGTATCTGAAACTACTTAACAACCACCACTTGGCCATTGCAGGTGGATGAGCCCAGCTGGTTGGTTGGCTGGCAGGTGAGGGTGGGTGATGGTGGCTCGGCTGGCTGGGTAAGATGTAATTATCAAGACCTTAGTTATCACTCACAACACCCGACACCCACCACTCTTAGACCGTATGATACTCCTCACAACCCATCACTTAAAAAGTCATACAGTCTCGTTCCAGTTCTTCCCAAGCTCTTCTGGGACTTGGTTCTGTTGGACTGTTTTCGTGTTTCCTATTTCTGTGGTGATAAGACTTTTGAACTTGATTCTGTGTTTTAATAATAGGGTCTGTCATTAATGCAGTAAGACTGGTACTGAGATTTTCTTTATTTTGCCTATGCAGTATATATGCTGTAAGGCTATACATATATGCATAATCTTCATAAAAAAAATATTTTGTTGGTGTACTATTATTGTTTTTATTTTTATACAGTGTTTTTTTTTTTCTTTTCTTTTTTTTAATAGAACAGTTAATGTTTGTTCATTTATGTCTCATGCAGGCCACTCGTGTATTTCATTATTTCTTGGTTACTTTTTTCTGTGCATTGCATGTTACTTCATGAATATCTCTCATTATCTTTATTTTATATAGTTTTCAATGGGTAATATGCTAATGATATCTTGTATGTTAATTATTACTATATATATAGCATTCTTATATAATTTTTAGTCCAAAAAGTTTTCTTTAAGTGATGATGGTTAGGATTCTATACCGTGTGAGATGTGGATGAACGTCACCACAGTGAATTGGTTGGTGACCTTGGGATGAACTGTACATCCGTCAAATGTGGCGAAGAACAGTTTTCATAGTGTATAATTGCCACAGGAACTCAAATATCAGGTATAACGACATATCAGACGCTTTGACCGTTGTTGGTGAGGCACACGTGACCCCAAGTAACAAACCTTGGAACTGCTGTGCCCACGTCAAAAGAGCAATCTACATACGGGTGAGGATCGAGGCGTAGGATATTCTCGGTTCATCATCTTGGCCGTCTGTTGATGTTCATCTTTTGTTCATCATTGTCACTTCTGGTGCTGTAAGTACAATCACTGCACAAATAAACATATTTGTGCATGATTGGCTGTGAATATGTACATACTCTGTACATATTTAATTCTGATAAAATAAAATAATAAAATAAAATCATTTTTTCTTTTATACCTGTTATTCTTTTTGGGTTTAGGTCTTTTTAAGGTGGTTAAAGAAGTTCAGGAAAGGTCATGTTAGATTAAATTACTATTAAGTTATATTAGGTTATGAGTAAACCTGCTTGGATTAAAGTTATGAAAAACAGGTTAGGTTAAAACTGAAGTGTGAAGTTAGGCGCAAGTTAATGGTAAGGGTGTCAGTTTAGATTAAAGTGTAGGTTAAAGGTAAAGGTCATATTAAGTGACACTTAAGGGTAGGTTAGATAAGTGAGGGTAAAGTTGTAGGTGTTGCATCAGGTCATGATAAGATTTCAGGTAGCCCATGTTAGTTTAAATTGGGTTAAAGTTTTAGGCTGCCTATGAATGAACTCAATGTTTACTGTACATCATTAACAAATGCAAACATTTGAACAGCCCCATGCCTCACCAGTTAAGTTACTTTACACTAATGTATTTCCCTGTTTGGAAATAAACAGATCCTTTTTCTAATGCTATTGGCAATGATGTATACAGGTGATTAACCGAAAGGTTTAGATTTAATTAATGAAAAGTTTAATAGGACATAGGTCTGATCAATCAAAATGTAGTACTGTATTGTACAGTACTAATGTTTCCAAGAAGTACTGTATTCAATTTGTGTATCTGACAGGAATATTGTACAGTTTACTGTATATCAGAAAACAGAAATATGAGAATAGCCTTAACTTAGGCTAATTTGGGATATTGGAAAAATAAAGCTGCACTGTTTTGAAATATGACATTACAGTACTGTAAGGTACAAGTATGTATAAATATACTGTATACTGTACTACGTCTTGGGATGAGTGGTACGAGCTCTATACCACAATTTCTGATGTGGTATCTAATCTGTAAGGTCAAAGACGATGCCAGGATACTTAAACACTTACTCGTATGATAGTGTTCTCTTCTGTGTGACTCATTCACTGGTAGTGTGGGGCATACTTTATACAGTATGTTACTTCAATTCTCATATAAGAGTACTACTGTACTGTATATGTACAATAGTTCCTTTAATATTAGCCAGTGAGTTGGATCACCTGAAAATTAGCCTCCTCCAGCTTATTTCATTTGTTGATTAAAGATCCTAATACTACTGGGGGGGGAGGTTAATGTTGAAGGTAAAATAAAGTGGGTGTAATCTTCAGGTGAGCCACTAGGTTTACTGGAAAATTTGCCAGTTGTATACATATTAGTTTTGTGCAACTGGCAGTATTGTGAAAATATATATACAGTATACAGTACTGTAGTCTGGTTTTACGCAGTTAATTAAACCCATGGAGGTCCGTGTATAAAGTGAAATGCGTAAATAAAATAACAGAACCTATGGGATTAATTGAAATAGAGACTGGGCCGACCGCCAGACTTGCCTTTTTTTGGCTATCGCCGACACAATACTGTACATTGTAGTAAAATTAGCATCTTAATTTTATAATGGTAGTTCAGGGCCTCTCGGGGGTGGTGGGGGTCCAGCGGAAGCCATTGTGTAGAAAAAAAAAAGCACTGGTTCCTGGGCGCGAGTGAATATACGCGGAGACACCGAGACTGAAAGTGGCGGCGGAGAGCGTGGGTGGTAAGGATACGTGGCCCAATCACAGTCTGCGACGTCACCGGCGCGAGTCTGACGTCAGCGCCCAGCACCTCGACCTGCTGCTTGCAGGTCGGACATACAAGCGCCGCAGCCATATAAAATATTTTTCAAATTACGTATTTTCTAGTACCGACGTTACTGTACCTGCAAAGGTCTGTGAAACAACTAACAGATTATTCTATTGTATCATGCCAGAAACAGTTAATATCATTGTCGTTTCTGCAAAACTTGTAAACAGAAATATCTCCGTTAGCCGGAATCCCTCAAACCCGGAACTCTCCGATAGCTGGAATTGAAATTTTCTCGGAAAATCATTCTAAAAGCCAGAATTTTCCGGAAAATTCTGGCTTTCGGAAAGATTTTCCAAGGGGCACATTTTAAAAAAAAATTCCGATACTTGGAAAATCCGGGGATGGAGTTTTTTCTAGGTTTGAGAGATGAAAATCAGGTGCATTTTCTGAAAATTCTGAGAAATTTTCCGTTACCCAGATAATTCCGGGGATGAGGGATATTTTTCCGGGTTCGAGAGATGATGTACTGTAATGGGTAATTTCTGGAACATCCGAGAACATTTTTCTGTTACCCGGAAAATTCCGGGGATGAGATTTTTTTCGGGCTTTGAGAGAGTCATCTCGTTACCCGGAAATCTCTCATTCCCAGAAGTGCTCTGCACCAATTGTTCCAGCTAATGAGAATATCACTATTTCCTTATTGACTGACAACAAACTAAGTGTCAGGAGAGTATAAGAAAGAAAATAAGGTAGAGAGACATGAAAAAAATGAGAGAGATGAGAGTAACAGACTGATAACTGTCGTAGGAAGACATGAGTGGTCTGCAGATAAAGAAGTACGGTACAGCACTGAATGAATCATATATTGGGTAATATCAACAGTGATGGGTTAATACTAAGAATTTCTTAACCGAAGAAATTTGTGAACTGAAGATTAGCCCCCGTTTATTTCACCTTGTGGTGATTAAACCTTAACTCTACCTGGGGGGGATTAGGTTAAGTGAGCGTTTGAATGACTAATACACTATTCATGTGCAATAAGCTGGGGCTAATTTTCAAAATGGTCCCAAATTTGTAGTACAGGTAGTACTTAACTCATGTTACTAATTTTCATTTTGCATAGACTTATACCTTTATGTAAATATAGAAGACCAATGGGTACTAAACACAATGGCTTTGTCGCTATCTTCAACAATTCGTGATTGAACGCCATATCTGTATATAGGATTTTTTTTTTTCGTGCCTGGTTCCGAGAGATTTTACGTGCTAATCTTTTAGACTTATTTTACCGCTGTCTTTGGACGATTATTTTGTTCATATACTTGTACTGTACAACAAACACATCCGAATACACAACTGCAACTATATCCAGAGGTCCCAAGTGAGCTTAAATTTCAAATGAAGAAAAATAATCCCTCCAATTTTCAAATGCCTAGGTCGAACTTTCAGACTATATTTTTATTTCTCCCACTGACGGCCATTGTGTCGACTTAAGTAGGATCTCTGCACAGTACTCTAAACACAATACTGTACAGTATTTGCATAATTATCCAATCGGTTAATTCACCTTTATGCCAAAGGTATTGTACATTGGGGTCTAAGTTCAATATCCAACAATTGAGAGGGAATTTTTCTTCTTTACTAATTATTGTACCGAATTTCACCATTACAGTAGAGCAACAGCTAAGAATGTATAATTCTTTCAAAGCAGACTAATAACCCCATTGAACAAAGTGCTCTATTTCATCATTCGAAGCTTCAAAATGTTGTGAAAAACTGTGAACTTTTATCTCATCTGGAAGATAAAATTTATCACTTAAAAAACTTAACAGGGCAGAATGTTTACTGACGCACTAATATGACCCAGACATCAATATGCCATCAAAGTGAGTTAATTATACAGTTTTCTGGGTTTATCTGAAAACTAACTCCCTTATTTTACCTTAGATTAACCACTTTAAAGATAACCTAACCAAATTCCCTTAGGTGGGATTAAGGTGCTTAATCATCAGGTGAAATAAGCTTGGGATCTAATCATCATGTGATCCTTGTTCCTTGTCGTATTAAAGAGACACGTGATTGTTTTTATTTTGTGTGTAAACGGCCATTTATCTATCTGGAGTTTAGAACACAGTAATTCAAATAACAGATGGATTTTATGAGCTGATAAGGTAACCTACCTCTAGCGGCAACCTTGTTCATTTTTAAACAATGTTGTTTTAAAGTAAAGTTGTTATCTTTACCTTATTCTCTTCTTCATTTATTAGCTTCCTAGCCATTTGGGACGTCGCTGTATTTTCTCTTACTGTTGGCAAAATCTGTACTGTACAAGTACTGGACGTTTGCCATACCAGCATTGTTCAACTCAGGAATTAATGGATCTCATACAGTCCTGTCATAACCTTTTACTCGTGTCTTTGCGCGCTTGTGTGTTGTACTCTTGTTAGTTCATTAATCTTCTTAGTGTGTTTGTTTATCTTTGTGAGTTTATTTATCTTTTTCATGTGCTTATCTTTGTGTTTGTTGCTTTATCTTTGTTTGTTTTCTTCGTTTGTTTATCCTCTTGTGTTTATTTTCTGTATGTTTATCTCTATCTTCTAATTTTGTTAATTTTCTAAGTGTTTTTTTATCTTTGTTTATCTTCTTGGTGTGTTTGTTTATCTTAGCATGTTTTGTTTTCTTTGTGTGTTTTCATGTTTGTTTTGCTTCATTTGTTGTGTTCTTCGCAGTTTATCTATTCTTTTCAATTGCTTGTTTATCTTTTTTGTTTTGGTTTATCTTCTCCATTTATTTACATTCCTCGTCTTTGTTTATATCCGGATATTTATCTTCATCATAAGTTTTTAATCACGAGGGCCAGAAGCTACATGGCAATGAAGCCAACAAAGAACAAGACAATTTAAAGTTAAATGGGGGTAATGAGTGTTGTTAGGTATGTTTTGGGGTAAAGCCTAAAACTAATTGGGAAACTCTGCACTAGTCTTATCCATCTATATATAAAAATTGTGTGATATAAAACGTGTCGATATTTTAAACTCTTGGGGGTCACTGGATCGACCCCGGGGCACTCTCAGTCATGGTTATGAAACTCACCATTATTCAAGATAACAGATTTCTTGATAAATTTCGCTTTAATTGCCTAGCACTCAAGAGGCTGGCTAAGTAATCATACATACTCAAGGAGTTAAATAGTCGCACTTAAGGAGTTAAAAATCGTACCTAGAGCTTTAAAAATCGTACTAAAAAATTTAAAAGTAAAAAAAGTAAAATTACTTAAGGGTTTAAAGATCATACTCAATGTATTGGCATCGTACAAGTGAAATTAAGTCATAGTACACTTGTGTTTACAAATATCTTGACTGAGAATGCCGCGGG